ACTGTGGCATGTTTTAACTGCTTTGAGTGTTCAGGAACAGAAGAAAAGGACTATATATAAGGACCAGCCCATTAATTGTGCAACTAGCAGCTCGGATTATAAATACTAGCCTCTCAGCAACTCGGGTTGACAAGCTATTTGATTTTTATTTCTAGACTGCACCAGGCTTTTTCATTTTTTTAATCAGGCTGTTGAAAAGTCAAATTGGAAGCTGAATTCATTAAACAGCTTGGTAGAAAGATGTGTTCATTTTTGATTAAGTGTGCTTCAAGCTGATATTGGCAACACTGTTTCAACCGAAGTTTGCATAAGAGCATCTCTGAACGCACAACACAGCGAACCTTAAAACAGAAGACCACACCGAGAGCCACTCCTGCCAAATAAGAACAGGAAACTGAAGGGAAGGAAAAGGGAGTCAACTCTGGAAGTAGCAAGCTGCAACTAATAAAGTCTTTCTTCTAAATGCTTATCTTAAAAAAGATTATTTTAAACTCGGAATCACACAAAGCTAAATGAAAAAGAAGCTGGAAATAAAGACTACAGGTCCCCTACATCCTCTGACGAAAGTTAAAAGTTCCAGTGCCTTCGACGATTAGAACTCGTCTGAGAGTCACCCCTGATTCAGGACTCTTTACTCTTTGCTAGATTTTTGTTTTTGTTGATACTCTACCTTGGAAACAAAATAAGCCTTTCAAACAACACACTGAGATGCTGCCACTGCAAATGTAGTTCTCAGTGATGAGTCATTTTAACATTGCAAATCATGGCCTGTCATTAAGCCCCAGGTGGTGACAATCCAGCCAGCACGCTGATAGCTGCTAGTTATTGATAATAATGGAAACAATAAAGGGAAATACAAGCCTGTTTAGGGCTAACAGGAACAGTTTGTCTCTATTCCTCCACTATGCCGATTCACTAATTCACTCAATAAAAACAAATTATCCAAATACGATTTTCAATCAGACGAGCAGCTTCATTCCAACCCTACATCAAGACTGAACAGCTGTTATTGGTACTGGTCACAATCAGTTGAATGCCACAGTACAGGAAGGGTAGAGGATGGTTTTGAATAGTCTCCCCTTGCTCTCCATCGCCTTCAAAACTACCACAACCTGACATTTCCCCTCCTGCTACCACAGGTGAAACTAAATCCAATTACAGCAATAAGTACCTCCTTAAGTAACCTGTTCCTCAGGCTCTTGGGAATCATCTATCATTGGAGAATAAAGGGTTAAGCCCTCTCACGCTAACCCACCTCCCACTAACCCTGTGAACCCGATGCTCTCATCGCTGACTCAGAGTGATGAAACAAGAGAATACTTTGCCAATACAAATCAATTCTGATAAAAAGTGCTTTAGAAACAGGCAATTATCTGAAGAATACTCTGTGAATCGCTTTTCATACACATTCTGAACACACAGTTTTGTCATGCTATCACACCAGTTTTCAGGGGTTAATGTTAACATTAGTGTGGTGTTAGTGTGTTTATAGCTGAAAACAGGGCCTGCGTGTATAAGAACAGTGTTTGGTGCAGTAGGCATTTCTTACTGTGGTTTTATTTACTACACAAACATTGCTTTAAAGTGCACATGTACGTTATTTGATGAAAACTTAAACAGAACCAGTTTTTGAGAACAAAAACCAGCACTGCCTGTGTACAGTAAGGTCCATGTTTGACAGCTTTATCAGTTTAGCAGCAGATACAATAAAAGATTAGCAAGTCATCAAAGTAATGATAAGCAAAAATGATAGACCTGCTGGAACAGATGAAGAGCCATTCAGGCTCTCACTCACTACATATGAAAATCAGATCACTGCATAATAAACGTAATATATTATATGGTAGGTGAAGAACCAGAATCTGGTTTCAGTTTGCAATCCAAAGTGTATTTACCTAATTACAGTTGGCTGAACTTTGACTGCGTACGGGTTAAAACTCCGATTGGATATTTTTAAAAAAATGAACACGTTGGCTACAAAGCTAATTTACAACCACAGGTTCTTATCTGATGTCCTCTGTTTGATGTTTTTAGTTTCTCCTCTTTCATTCCCAGACTGTAGACAAGCATGTTACATGTCTGTCTGATGACCCTAACTGGTGGGTTCCCATATTGCTAGCACTTTATCTAGCAAAGCGTTGCTAAAGAAAAAATAAAAATAAAACACTACTCAAATACTATTTTATACTAAGAGTTATCATCAGATTAGATACTCATTTGCAACAGTATCGATACGAACAGTGCCACCTTCAGTTGAAACACAACTTCAAACAGCACCGCTGGTAGCAGCCCCTCTCCTCACTAGCAGCTGAACGCATGAAAAGTAGTTAATATCAACAGACTGAACTACACTTTAAGATGAATTACAAAAGGTCAGGAAAGTTCCTGTTTGAAAAGTACTAAATGTCAACCTGGCCGGTGCACACATTAACATTGGCTGTTTAACAATTAGCAGTTACCTGCTAACCACATTAGTCGATTTATTAAGTTATTTTTACAGTAGAGGCTATGGCTGTGGCTAATTATGTCCTCTGTTTGATGTTTTTAATTTCTCCTCATTCATCGCTAGACTGCAATGAATGACCATTGAACGCGACAGGAGGTCATATTTGTCTGATAAATGGCCCCAGCCAATGGGTTCCAATGTTGCTCCTCCTTTTCTAGACCAGGGTCCAAAAATCAATACTAGGAATTATTATTGGATCAACATTATCAACATTATCGATATGAACAGTGTCAACTTTGCCTCCTTCAACTGACACAACTTCCCACAGAACCGTTGCAGACCGTCAGGTCACAGCCCCTCCCCTCACTAGCAGCTGAACACGTGAATAGTAGCTGATGTCAAAACTAAACAATTTATGAGGTATGTTAGATGTCAGTAAATCTTCTGTTTCAATATTAAAATATTAAACAGTTATATCATAAATGTTGACATAGCTGGTGCACATGCTAATGTTAGCCATTAAACTATTAGCAATTATCAGATAGCAACACTGGCTGATCTATTAAGTTATTATAATGGTAGGAGCTAGTGGCCATGGCTTATAACAAAAAGATAATATTAATATTGGACCTAGTCAGCAAACATTATTAGTGCTTCCTATTGGTAACATTAGTAATGTTAACAGAATACATTATTCCCACTATTCCTAAATCCAGAGATTAAAAAGATATTAAGTATAAAAAAAAAATGATTTTTAGAAATTGTACCAGCAAGAGCATCTTAAGATATAGTTGTCATATATCAATTCACTGTTACATCAGAAAAAAAGAAAACAGTGATGTGATTGATGTATTATTCTCATCTTTACAAAAAACAAAGACTGTGAATTTTTCTCCTCTTGCGGAGTAGAAAATGGTATGAATTGTTGGGTATTTTCCTGAGTATTATATTTCGTTTGAAATTTCAGCGATAATCCTAATCTAAAGAGTTTGTTAGCATAATGAAGTATGTAAACTTTACAACTATACTGAGATATTTTTTATAATCCCCCCGTTTTTCCCCCTTATTTGCTTCATGAGACTTTTTCCACTTCAGATTCTGACACATTTTATATTAGGGGTTGCGTCAGAAAGGGTAACAGGTGTAAAAATCTGCCAAATCAAATATGCAGAGCTACCTGCTGTGGCAACCCCTTGGGAAAATGGGGCGCTGCCAAAATGGAAACGGAAAGCTTGCTCACTTCCTTTTGAAGTTGGATTAATGGCATAAATGAAGCTGTGTTTTTCGGACCATCCCGACTGGTTTAGCGCAGATACGATGGAGTTGTTCACTTTGTCCAAAACCTCTGATGTATATCCAGACCAACCAGCTAGCGAAACAGCTATGATTTTAAATTACAAAAACATTTCCTGGAGGCACAGTCGAGCTGGTTCCTTTGTCTCTTTGCTCGACTTAAACCTCGACGGGCAGAAGCGCTCAGAATCCAAAACTTTAACAGCATTAAAGTCAAAAGTTGTTCCCTTGTCTTAACTGCGATCAGTGTGATCAGCGGTAAGTCAGACTTCTGTCAGATCCTCTTTTGCATGTACCGCTTCCAAAACTGATGGGGGGATGCCTCTGTATCACAGCAGATGTCTGCCTGCACAGCATGTAATTGCAGCCAGGCACCCCACTGCCATCCCAGAGTTATAACTCAGAGAAGTTAAATCTTACCAGGCAGTTACACTATCAAGCACTCTGGCTGCATCAACCTAATTTGCAAACAAAACACAAATGTTCTTTGGGTAAGCAAAAGCACGCACACAGTATTTCAAGCCTTACTGCTGTTTCAACGATTCTGAGTGCAGATTTTGTTTGGGCAGCAAAGAATGGGTCTGTAATTTAAATGTTTGTTATGACGCTGAAAGAATATGCTGGCCATGATCAGGGCCTCCATGTCGAATGCTTCAAGGACAAGCTCCAAGGCAAGCTAGGCCTCAGTCTTGCTCACCGTCAGTAACCTATCATGTCATTTAAAGGGCTGTGAAAACTGATTTACACCTGAATTTCAACAGCAACACACTGCGGCGCTCTATATTGTTTTTCAAATGCATGCAGCTGCTTTTTTGATTTTTGATTTTGTTATGACTGCTCTGGGTTTGCATAATGTAGATGTTTATACAGTTCCACAAAGCCTGGAAAACTACAACAGAAACCCGAGTAAGTAAAGCATCCAACTGAAAGGTCGGCAGCTTAGGGACATTTGTGTTTGTGATAGCAGCTCAAAAATTGTTTTGAAAGCTGTTTAAATACAAATTTGGAAAGTGCAATGAGATCATATTTTAGAAAAAAAATCACACTCGTTCGGTTTGACACTGCACTTGGCAAGCCTCTCCATGTCACCTTCAGCCAAATTTTTGGCTGGGGATGAAAAAAAATAAGGCAGACTCGTCCAACAAGAACACAAATCCATAAAATCCAATGCCGCCCTCACACCTGCCAGCAGTACAGTAATGCACAAACACCACAGCACAAACAGACGCCGTCCTCTTTCGACCTGATTATAGTCATTTACCTTTGCAATTTGGACACACCAGTTGAGCAGCAGCTGCGATCCAATGTTGTCCTTGTGCTCGTGCACATAGTCGAGGAGGCAGCCGTGGGGCATGAGCTGGGTGACCAGCTGGATGGTGGGGCTCAGGCAGACACCGAGGAGACGCACCAGGTGGGGGTGCTCCATGCTGGCCATGATCAGGGCCTCCTGGGTGAGAGGGGGGGAAGGAGGACAAAAATGGACTAAGAAGACTGCTGACTTACAGGGTTCAAGAAACTTCTCTTCAGATACTTTGGAGCTTCTTTGCTTTCTGTACTATATTTGTGTCGCATTGAACACAATTTTAAGCTTGCAGCTTCCCCCTTTGACCTTTTTGCGCAATTTCAATATCATTAAATTGTAGTCATATATATTTTTGTTATTTTTAGTTGGCACACTGAAATCTGAAAAAAAGAACCTGATTCAAAAGGTGGCAATGTGTGAAAATTTATTTGTAATCTAGTTCCTGAAAATTTGCTCATTTAGCGTGTGGAAACAACCCACACTGGGCTGTTTGTGACCTGGTTAAAAAGTTTAAGGAAAAACATGAAACTGAGACCAACATCCTCCTATACGTCACAAATTCATGACCATTCAATAAAACCTCCACCAATTAAAATGACGGACAACAATGGAGAAACGTCCTGCTTCTTTTTCTATACTATTACTGTACCTGCCCACTCTGGAGTATTGTCTGATTAGTCTGTGTTTGGTGGTTGCTAGGCAATGTGATGACTTCATAATATATCATGCATAATTCAGGTTTAGTAGACATAAAATCCAAAATTAAAATGATCTGCTGCTTTTTTCAGGTGTTGTAGGTGCAAAAAAAAAAATCTGATATTTTGAAAAAAGTTAGCATCATCAAGACACACACAGGGAGCCGTTTGGCACTTTGGTACCTTGATGCACTAGCTGTGAAAATACTGATGCTGATTAAAGAGGGAAACAGTTCATTTTTAGATGTTGGAAAGATGGTGATGCAATGAGGTGAGTTTATCAACCAGGAAACTGCCATGTTTTCACACACTCAACATTCACATTATCTCACTGAAGTCTTTGTGGTAAGATTTACGCAAACACTGAGGTTTATTGCAACTTAAATTTGATATCATAGGAAGTAGAGATTGGTGCACAACTGCACAATGATATTTATCTAGTGATATTGTGTAGATAAAGGCACACAAAATATCAATATTTTATTACATAAATAAAAATCTTACAAAGTACTCATCTTATGCACCGCCATCCTGACATAATATTAACTGAGAGGCCTTATATTAAATCAGCTCAACTAAAAACCATCACACACTAGACACAATTAGCCTGATAAAGCTACCTCGTACTTCAGAGCAAGGTAACGGCTCAGGAAGGCGAGTAAAAAAAAAAAAATTGGACATTTAAAAGAAACATTAGTGACCCGTGACTAAATAGCTGCCCAGAGTTTGGGGGTGTTGAACACTCGTGACCACTTTTAATCTCAAGGCGACTGCACAGGTTGCCTGATAGGAGGCAACCTTTCTGCAAACAATTGCAGTCTGACTTGGACGGCTTGCAAACACTATCAGAGAGATTGTTAAAGGTCTGCAAATAATTGCTTTCTGATTTATAAAAGCAGACAGGCTGCAAACATGTTGGTATCAGTCTGATTGAATCTCAATGATTTTCCACGATTTATCACAGTTAATCGCTTATCAGAAACAAACTGCATTTAATTGCCAACTTGACCCCATCCAATCACAGACTGGTTGCAGACTGACTGTGTTACGTCAACATTTATGGCAGGTTTTAGTGTGCTTAACAAGCCTAATTTTGCAACACAACAATAACGGAGGCGAGGTAACCTCACTGAATAAAGCAGGTATTGACAACGTTTAACTCTAACTCAAGATACTGCAAAATGTTCAAAATCACAATAACATTGTTTTGTGTCGGGTGATTCCCGCCTCTAATGGGAACTCATACAAACAAAACTTGACGACTTTAACTCTTTAAAGTCATCAAGTTGTCAAGACATTCCTGTTTCAACATTTCCGTAAACCCAGTTTTTTAAGGCACTGACGCCAAAGGACACGTTGTCATAACATCTGACGCTCTGGGCTCAAAGTATGTTGGAATCTTTATTCTGGGTTTTTGTAGGAAAACAATCAACATTATAAATATTAAGTTTATTGAGCAGCATTAGGTTCTATTATCCTTTTTTTTCTATGACAGATCAAGCTGTTACCCTTGGATAACACTACAGTGTCTACCAAAGAATTCCTAATAGAAATGAAGTTAGATGCATAAATTAATATTTGTGAGATGATTACTATATCTGCATGCACAGCATCTGCCCTGAGTAAACTCATAGTGAGAGAAAACCCTGCAGAACCCTTCTTCAAAGCTGCACAAACACAGCCTTTTTAATCTATATTTTAGCATGCACAACACACAGAGGTTCTTAAATGATGCTCCAATTAAAAGAAAAAAAACACAGTGAAACGTGCATGCTTAGAATCCACGCTGCTGTCTAACACAAAGTTACTGCGCCTCTGATTCCAGAAGCTGCTTCAGAATTTCTCGCTCTTGTTGTCATTTTGGCGTGTAAATACATTTTCTGTCCTCCCTCTCCGTCTCTCCCTGCAGCAGATGGACGCAGGGGTCTGAACAGTTGGGAGTCAACGTTGGATAATTGTTATTGCGGCGCTGCGAGCAGAAGGATGTGTGCCGGTGATGAAGTGTTATGATGGCGAGGACCGATACTTGTGGCCGGCGCGTATACGCGTTATGGCTGAGCAGAAGCTGCACTTCAGTGCCATCGCTCAGAAACACTCACTTCACTCGTTCTCGTCTCCTATTGCCTCTCTCTCTCTCTCTCTCTCTCTCTCTCTCACTGACATGCAGACACACTCTCTTGGCAGCTCTCGAAAACACTCACGCCCTCAAGGACACACACGCACACTTTCTCTCTCTCCGTCTTTGCATACGGCAAGCGGTTGAGGAGGTGTATATCCAGGCTTGGCCCCGGGGCAGCCGATGGATAGATGAGGTGCCTTTTTAAATTTAGATGCTAAAGAATGAGCTGAGAGGGAGAGAGGTGGTGGCAGTGTGGGTGGTGCGCGAGTAGATTAATTCTAAACAGCAGCGGGGCCATAGGCCGTCGTGAGGCTTTTGGCACCATCAGTGGCCTGATTTAAGCAGAGCCTCGCAGCACTGAAGTTGTGCCACTACTTTTTCACTTCTTAAAACCACCTGCTCCCCCTCTGCCCCCAACCACTCGCCATCAGCCACCTCTGCACCAGGAATGCGCCTCGCCTCGGGATCCAGAGAGGAAGGGAAAAAAAGGGGGAAGAGCACTTTTATTCTCAGACTGTGATCTCAATAGAGACCTGGGAGTCGTAAACTGTGTCGGGCTAAACTCTTGCTCCTGCTTTCTACTCTCCGGGCAAATGTTACGAGGATTTGCCCGTGTGTGTGTGTGTGTGTGTGTGCGTGTGTTTTGGTTTCCCTCTCATCTCCCTGAGCGCCAACCTCCATTACTGCCGGCTGACCCTCCTTTTCCATCTCGCTCCCTTGCTCACTTGCCCCCCTCACACACACTTGCACAAACAAGAGTTGATAGAAACTTGCACCTGTGCTAGTGCGTGTGGGTGTCTGCGCGCGAGTGCTACAAAAGTGGAGCAGATGTATTAAATGAATGTATTGTTAGGGCCTTTGCATTTCACACGTCACATAATTGAGTCAAATCCACATATTTGCAAACACGAGCAATTCACTCTGCATCTCTCGCAGGCAAGGCCACCCCACCCCGCCTCCCTCACCCCATGGGGAGGCTTATTTTTTGTTGCACAGAGCGTGTTTGGTTATGTGTGTGTGTGTGCGGACTTTCAGAGAGTGTTTGGAGCTGGCACTCCAGTGGCCAGTTTCTCAGTGGCGAAGCGTGAGCCTGCCTTTAGATTGCTGTTTAACAAGCCAGCAGACAGAGCATATTGGCTCTGGATGGACAGGGACGCCCACTGGGAGAGACACCGAGAAAGAGGAAGAGAGGGACCGATGAAAAGGAGGGAGGAAAAAGATGCACAGATTAAAAAAAGTGCCCAGAAATGGGGAAACACAGGACGGAGCGCAGCTGTGTGTGCGACAGGAGAGAGAATAAAGTGGTTCGCACTGTGGTTGGTAGTCAGCTAGTTGTGAATAATGATTTTAGTGTTTGATTTTTGCATTAACATTCTTAGTATTGATCACTGTGTGTAGCCATCTGTCTCGCAGTTGTTAGCACTATGCTACGTGTAAGGATCACGGATGGTCTATGAGAACTGGATACCAGACTCCGGCATGATATCAGTCCAATTAGCGTTCATCCAGCGTGGACACCTTCCTCTGGGTTGTGTGTCCAAGTGCACATGTGAGTGGGAGTGTCGCTACTCTTTAAATAAGCTTCCTCTGGCTTAACTGTACTGACCCACTGGGTTCAAGGTTATAAAAGGCTGTTTTTTGACTACTTTCGATTTCACCTTTAGAAACAGTTTACCTTGCCTTGTTAGGTATCATTCTTTTCAGCACAACCTCACATGTCTGACTTTGCAGTTATTTTTCATACTGTATTAACACATTAAAGGGAACCCCGGCTATTAACACATGTTTGCGCTAAAATATGCACTGTGTTTTCAATAAATATATGTGGTATCCAAATACGCCAAATATTTTCCTTTTAAGCACATTTTATATAAAACCAGTTTACCAGTAGGTCACCATCGTTATTTACTTCTCAATGCACTCTAGGTAGTGACGTCACATGGTTGCACCACATCGAGTTCACAGTTAGAAGCGCACTGGAAATGGCTTCTGTTCAACCTCTCCAGTTTCAACCAGAGCAAACCGAGAGAGATGATGAAAATAGTCAACCAGTACTTACTTTAGATGAAGATGAAAACAATCCGTCACACGAGGACGCGAGAGTGAGGGAAAACTACTGGTGTCTATGCGGCTACTGCTTGCCAATGGCAACGGCGACTGAGAGCGTTTGGTGTAAAGAGCTTAATTTTATGGTAGCAGCTATCCATGGTATCGCATAACCGCATGATAAAAACATTAATAGAATTCTAATTTTTATTATACAGTGAAATTATGATATCGTTATTTTTACAGATTCTCCATGCAACACAGTGCAGCAAAACTTTGAAGCCGTTGTGCCAAACTAGGTAAAATTTGTTTCCCCTGCGTCGGGTGCAAACACTGGCCTTTCGAAATCATGGACTAACAGTATCCCACGTTCGTGATTTGTAGTTCATAAACACTTCTTATAATGACTAACTAGTCCAGAAATGTTGGAGATGTTAGCTCTTTATACAGTAAAATTACAGTGGGATACAAATAATATCAAAATGTGCTTAAAAGGAAAACATTTGGCGTATTTTAATACCACATATGTGTTATTGAAAGCAAAATGCATATTTTAGTGCAAACATGTGTTAATAGCCGGGGTTCCCTTTAACACAATGGAACTAAAATCACCAAAAAAAAGCACAAAATCTGAGAAGCAAAAAGTTCGATGTTTTTACTGTAACAACCACAAACATGTTAAACAAAGCATTTTCATAACTTGAAATGCAAACATAAATTGCACATTTTAAAAGATTATGTACAAATGCAGCAAAGAGCAAAGGTACAACTGTTTGCATTAAATGCAGCCGATGTCTCAGGTGTGTTTTCCCCATCAGGTGCCACAATAAGATGCCACACAAAGTATTTGTGCCACTTCAAGCACCAGACAGAGCGGCACATTACTGCCCCGACACCTCCGGGGTGTATCACTCCTCCTTTTGTCCCCCTGGAGACACTGGTGGCATCTTTGACTACACTACACGCTAACTACACACTCCAAACACGCAAAAGATCACAAATCTCTCTCAAATTTTAAAATCTGCTATCGACATCACTCTCTCTCTTTCACCGCCGTCCCTTCCCTCTCTTCCTAAGCAACCAAATGCCATGTGCCAGTGAGGCCTGTCGAGTCTGAGATGTAGCTACTGGGTTTTTTGCAGTGTCTCTGAACACTGCACGATCTGACCTTGGACTGAATTAGCAGAGATGTCAACTCCTGGGATGATTGGGGACTATCTTGAATGTTTTTCTGCCTGTGAATAATCTTTCTCACTGCAGACTGACGGACTTCAGATTGTTTGGAAATGACTTTATAACTCAAACTGACAAAAACGTCTGCTTTAATAGAGGTGCTCACACTTCCTGATGATCAGGTAATCAAGAGTATTTAATAATCTGCATCAAGCTGCTATCTACCCCCTTAATTCATGTGGAAGCGGTGAGAGTGGAATTAGTTTTTCACACTCTGATTCTGCATTTTTACTTATCTTTGCCTAAAATTAGTAACGCAGCGACTTATGGCATGTCTGCTTGGTCTGAGCTTGTATTTACAAACTTTTTAAAACCTTAAAACTGAAAGACGGGGTACTTTACTTGACTAATAATTACAACTGCGAGGCTTAATAACTTTTTTTTGCATGCTACTGATAACCTTTTATCCACATTGTTTTGCTAACAATTCAATTTCATTATTTTTTATGCTGTTCTCCAACATCTGCATATCACATACAGCTATTTCATTTACGTTCTCATTATAATCTATTCAAATCTTTATTCTGGCTGAATTAAAGGAAAGAAACAAAACACAGACCATGTTCGTCACATGCATAGAGTACAATAATGAGACATTAAGCTGACCTGTTTTTCCCAATCAGCAACCTGAAATGCAACAATACTCCATTTCAGTGCCACATAAGATCAAGAAGAGGCAAAAATCCCCCCAAATGAAAAGGTGGATTTGAAAACAACGGGATATTTGCTTTTAAAAAGACAGAAATGAACAGCTAGATGAAAGGGTTCATGATCCAGCATCCACAATTGTATAATGATGAGGCACCTTTTTGCACAACCTTGTGATAAATGAGACACAAAAGCTTGTGTATTTGAAAAAAAAGGAAAGAAAGAAAAAAATGGAAATTCCACCGCCTGCCCTTCCTCATCTTCCTCTCCCTTCCATCATTCCTGCATTGCTATAAAGCCATATCTCATAAACTAGTGCTGTTCTTTAATAGAGTCTTGTTCCATACATGGCTGGCTGTACAGCGTGGTGGAGTTCACTTTATTACAGGCTCCGACTGAGAAGGTGCTCTCGTAAGAATTTACCGCCAAATGCACGATTCCACAAAGCGACAGACCCGGCAGTCTCTGTGACAACGCTTTATGGCTCGCGCACGCACATTCACACACACACGGCCGAAAACAGATACAAATTGTTGCGATATAAATACTCACGTCCATGAACTCCACGTTGGCTTTAGGACCGGTGGTCTCATTGAGGATTTTAATAGCCACGGGGATCTTCACCGTCTCACCTTCTGGGACCCAGATGCCCTGAAATATACAAGCAATCACCATAAATGTACCCAATAAACAACCCCTGGCACGCACTCACACACAGAGCTACCGCAGAACTGACTTTGAATGGTGGTTGTTGTGTTTAACTGTCTCCTGCAGCTCTAATAAATCCAACCCCATCTTCAAAAAATACCGTTGGCCTTCAACAATTAGCTCGTGCATAACTAAGTTTAAAACCCTTTGGATAAAGCGATTAGAAAAGACAAATATCACAATTTCAATTCACTTTATGAGGCTTAAATTCTGCTAAAAGCAAACTGCTGTGGGATTGTACTGCCATAAATTGCATGCAGATTAATTTAAATAAAATATGCCTTAAAACGGGCAGATGAGTAGAGGAATCCAGAGGAATTTGGAGCCAGCGGTAGAACGTGCAGTATTTATTTGATGGATTCTGCTGATTTTCGGGGTGCTATGAATAATTTTGCCAAGGGCAGCGAATTTGGCAAGCAAACAGCAACTTCTGTTCCAGGTCCTTGAGCCGCCCTCAGCTTGTGTCTGTCAGGAAACGCTGTGACAAAAGAAAAGGTTTGTGTTTGTTGTTCAGAGGTTGTTCTTCAACCGAGAGAGGTCTGACACCTATGCTGGTATTGGTATTGCCCTCCACACTTGCGTGATAAGGTCTATATTTTGTTTATTTTTGGGGACATTAGAAAAAATACCCCTCAAATATGACCTATGAAAGATATCTGAACATCAGGTGTTGATTGTCAACAACTGAATTTCTATTCAGTCACGTGACCACTTTACCATGCAGTCAAGCTCATTGTGACATCACTGGTGTAGTCCAGTCATCTTTCTGCCTGCCTCCTTCAGGCCCATCAGCCTCCACTCTGCAGACATTAAATATCACTGGTTATCTGTCATTCTAGTTTGCAGATGCTGTCACGCAACCCACCCGCCATTCTGGTCTAACCGGTAAATACCTGAAATTGAATTCCATACATCAATAAATGATGTTCAATTCCTGCTAATGATCTCTCCTTGTTTAAATCCCAAGTGGCGATTTCTAACTCAGAGCTCCACTTCAGTCACATCTACGTGTATCTTTTATAGAATCCTTCATCTTACCCTACTGCCAGGATGAAAGCTTTCAAAGGACGGTCAGCTACATGCGTTTTCACTCTGGACGGGTAAATAATGTCACCGTGTGGGAGAAGAGCAAGAAACTGATCATCATTAATACGTAGCTAGCTTAAAGAAGCTACTTAAATGATGTAAATCTTATGTTTTGTTGACTTGGACATTTACAGTGTAGGGCCATAAAAGTTCCAGTAGTGTTAATTTGTCAGTGTTGTGTCATAACAGTGAAGTTGACCAAATATTTTACCAATATCCAGCAAATCATCTACAGTTTAAATATGTTGCTGTGGAGAAGCAGGGACTGGTGTGATTCAGCCTATACGGCAGGGTTAAGAGAGATGTGCTCACAGGTTGGTGCCATACTCTATGTCTACGCCAATCAGAAAGCTGTAACTAAACAGTGATTAGTGCATCTGATAGCACAGCAACTATCTGGCATTTTGGCTTTCAAAATACATGAAAAGCTGAAAGATATGTTTTATTGTGTTAACACAACACAACAAGTTGTGACACACTGCTGTCCCCTACATACTGTAAGCTGCCTTTACAACTTAAAGGTATCAGCAATACCCTGTATTTACTTGATATTGATCGGCACCAGAGTCTGCAGGATGGCTTTACCACACACTGACCTTGTAGACTGTTCCGAAAGCTCCCGAACCCAAAATCTTCACCCTCTTCAGCTCTGTCTCTTTCAGGATCCGCAGCTGGGCCTGGTTTGGAGCAGTTCCACTGGGGGTCAGGGGCTCCACCAGCTGAGGAAGCAAAACACACAGACACACTCATATTAAGACTATTTATCCCACTCTCTGTCTCATCTGGTGCCAAGAATGTGAAGAAAACCTCCTGGCAGCTATTGCTTTTATTGCAAAGCTATCGAAAACTAGAAGTGTGCCTTTCTTTTACATCAAATCCAAATATTTTTAACCTCCTGCTACTTGGCACTGTGAATGCTAAAACACATCTTCAGAGCCACCGGGAGCATGCAGCAGGGTGAGGCCGCTCCATTTAAAATAATAAGTAAAAAGCAAGTCTAGGAAAGAGCGGTGGAAGGTGAACACAAGGTTTTTATTTGCAGCAAATAAAAAAAGAAGCCAAAAAACTGAGACTGTACGGCCCTGATAGTTATGATTCTGCAACACACACACACATTTATGAAAGACAAATAATTCGGGGGTGTGAATGTGGAGTTCTGTCAGAACTGGCAGTTGCCAGAGTGGACAGCAGCGTGCCCACCACTAGGCAAATCACAGTCTGGTGTCAGCTGCTATCACAGTCGACAAAGAGCAGCAGCTCACCAGCTGTGCACATACAAAACAATTCCAATTCAAGGTTATGACAAGCCTCCTCCGCACGCCGCCTCCCTGCCAGTAACAGCTGACACTGAGCAGCATCCCAGCAGCTGGCCTGGCCACCCGCCTTCACCGCTAGCCGCTAAACAAAGCCTCGGCGACTAAGTATGAAAAAAGCAGGAGCTGGCACCTGTAACCGAGCCGTGAAAAGATCTGAGCCAGAGGCAAGAGAGAAAGCCACACACACATTTTCATCCAGGCAGCCTATAGTACACATCTCAGATCAAGCACACACACACACAAAGTCAATGCACCTGATCAATACGTGTCTTAATGAGCATATCGGGTCCCTCATTCGCTGCGGTTTATCAGCGGCATAATCACCCAGCTTGGCCACGACCATCAAACAATATAATGAGACCATATATCAGTCGGTCAGCCATACAAGCACTTACTCAATGTGATATAAAACCATCAGCACAATAGGACCGGCAATCGCAGCGCCGGTCCGGTCTGCAGAATAGATGACATTGCCCGCAGCTCGGCAATGACACGTCGTTTAATGGCTATCGTTATAGCCGGTCCTGAAGGCACAGTGTAAAGCCCGCTGAGATGTCACTGCAGGTAGTGAGTTAGAGCAGGGGAAGGGAAATGACAAATTTCATAAGACGGGGGGAAGTGAGTGAGATGAAAGAGGGAAAGGAAGGAGCGATGAGAGGATGACTGAGTGGATCGAGTGACGGTAACGTGCTGTTTGAAACCTCGTTCGGTCTGTAGAGCACCAAAATCGCGTTTTTGTACAAGCGTTAAGATGAAGTGCGGAAACAAACGGCCACAGCTGTATCACATTGGGGCACATGTGAGATGTTTTAAAAGGTTTGGATCATAAATCTAACATGGAGAGAAACTGAATTTTCTTTCCAAGGTCAAGAAAATGGACCTATTTTTTTTTTAAACTCCAAACATCAATTTTCTTATTTTTCTTTGCAATGTACGTTGCAGTAACCCCGCCATTTAAAGTGCTGCCTTGATGACGTTTTTCAAATCGCTTCAAATGCTGATAGAAGCATTTGACATCTTACCTGACAGTTAACTGTGAACTATGCACACATTTAATGCAACTGTTTGGGCATACTTGCTGAATCTGTGCCATGAAGAATGAAAGTAGTTCTCAAGGCAAAAGGGAGTCTGCCAAGTACATTTATGTAGCTAATAAAACAGCTGATGCACACGTGGTTACATTGATATGTACTGTGTCATTTTAGCTGGGAGAACTCATGGGAATACAGTGCTGAGCCCAAGCTGCACTTCCTCACATGGCCACTTTGGGGGCTGGCACCAAAAACGGGAATCAACAACTGTCGAGTCCCATGGTAAAATGCCCAAGTTTACAGCAGAATAAGCATGTTTACTGCCTTCTGCGCATAAAAAGTTCTGAGTTCAATAATCAGATGTCATAATTTATTTCTAACATCCCTGTGCTTTGTTAAGGACCATTTTAGTGCAGTTGTTTTGATGATTAATATGGCTAACTCTGTGGTGATTACACTAACAGACTGTCAAAGACAGGTAATTTCTTTAGTTTTGGTGAGTGATATTCTAGCATGTTCCTTCACCATGATTAGCAGGTACCTGTCTCTGAAGGTCACCCATAGAGTCTATGCCTGCATCTTGTTAATAAATCTTCCAAGTTCTACCTGATAACTTAGCTGTCTTTTCTCTTATGCTCACCTCCGACTCCAAACAGCCAAGACAGGCTTTACAAACAGTGAGTATATCACTGCGTCTATACAGTGTGCCTCTGAGGCTTTAAATGAAATATGAAATTTTCTAGCAATGACTGGTTGCTGACTGGATGTATTTACCTCAACAGAAAGGGCAAGCTTTGGTCACATCCATCATATCAGCATGGTATTTGTGCAAAGAGCATTTTTTGCATTTCGGTGTGTGTGCATACATTGCTAGAATAACAAAAAAAAAACAATTGCCGCTGTGGGTGGAGAGAAATGGAGTGATTTGGAAAGAGAGAGCAGAGATGAGGCACAGGGAGGTGGTGATGGAGCAGTAATAAGAGCAGATGGTGACAGGCTGTAGTTGTTATTGTTTCATTAGGATGAGGCTGGACTGGACTGGAGAGGAGAGGGAGAGGAGAGGTCTATTAAATAAGACACAGACCCGTAGCCGACGAAGCTCTCTTGAGCTCGTTCTCACTCTCGCACACACTCACCACGCCACTTTATTTACCAGCTAATAATGCACCGTGCCTTTGCCAAATGAGCTTCACTGGTGGCGCGGTGGAGAGGATTGGGATGCTTCATTGGACAAATAAGCAGTATGTTCAAGCCTCGAGCTAGAATACATTCACAGAATTATTGTGTATTGAATAAGTAAACAGTGTCTTCAAACATGAACTTGCTCTGCAAACCCTCGGGTACATGCTTTAATGTTCGCATTACCCATTCAAAGAGCTACATTTGTTGTGTTGGCTGTAATTGAAACATATTGAGGTGAAACAACTTTGTCGTGCCACAAGCGTTTGCCCCGGAGCAGTCGCAGTAGGTGGTCTCGGGGCCTGTGTTGCTGCCTGGTCAATTTTCAGGTGAACTTTGTTGGCTTATTTTGATTCTTAGTGACTGATGTCGGACTTACGAAAGCACCAGTGATTTAATAGGGGTTAAAACTGGGTCACTGGAATTTATACCAGACAAACATGTTGTATAACAATAACCTCACAATTACAAATGTAAAAATGTGATAGCCATCTAACTATTAGACTCAAACACATGGACTGAGACATACAAGGTCACAAAAAAGGAATTTTCTTTGCACCTAACATTGTTTTATTAAACAACCAGCATCGTCTGCTCTTCATTCGAATGCGGGGTGTGTGTGTGTTTGTGTGTGTGTTTGTGTGTGTGGTGGGGGGGGGTTAGCGGCTTTGAATGTTAATAAGTTTGCCTCAGCCAGAAAGTACATTGGGTCAACCCTTGTTTTTTTTAATTTGCTATATTGACTTTGTTATTCAAATCTGGCGAGAGTGCTTAAACAAGAGTGCTATATTGGAGAAAGGCGAGCAGTAACTAATTCCTCCACTGCTGTATGGACTGAAACAGACTTTTTCTTACTCATCTCTCCTGTCACTTGAAAAAGACTCAGTAACTTTCACAGTTATCATTTAAAAAGAAAAAAGTTCTTTACTTTAGGCTAAGTTTGGAAAATATGGAGGACCTAATGTGCCAAAATTGATGAATTAATAAATATGACTTTAAATAAACCAAAGATAATATTATAACTAAATATAGGGATTGATTATGAAATAATTAAATCAATAATGTTTTTCTTTTTTTTACATTTACTTGTAAATTAATTGCCTGTGTTATTTACTTTCCTACTTAACTTCCCTGTTGTTGTTAGCATTGATTATACGGTATGTATTATACTGTCTGTTACTCCAAACGTTTCTGCTCTTCTTTGATATTTTACAGTACAATATTTATTTGGACATTGGTTCCTTTTTCACTCATTTTCAGTCCAGTCCTTGTGCCTGAACGTTTTTGTTTGTTAAACCATTTAGCACTGACATATGAATCAGTCAAGCACAGTAAAGGCTCCTAATTCAAGGGATGAACCAGTGTTTTTGTCTAGACATACAGTTAACTTAACAAAGAATCAATTTTAAATTGTATCTTTAGGCACTTTGTTACTAGCAGGCTGTCACAAAACAAAGTAATTCGCAAAGAGCTATTGCCAAACATTTGGCATTTCTCAGCATGGTGTGGAGTGTGTCCTTAAAAAATTTGAGGAAAAGTGGAGGACAAAAGAAGAAGTGTCAGGCCTAAAAGAATGATCTGAAGCACATCCTTAAGAAACAGGAAATAATCCAGCAAAGACCTGATACAGGAGATAAGAGATGCATCCGGACCTTCAGCTGATCATCTACTGAACACTGAAGTGTCATCAGAAATGGTCTTTGTGGAAGGGTGCTGTCAAAAATGCTTAAGGAAAGGAAACAGGGATAAAAAGCTGAGGGATGAAAATTACACAAAAACTGGACTGAAAATCAGTAACAATAGGTCTAAACGAGTGATGAATCCAGATTGGTGTTGGAGATCTTGCAAAAATTGATGAATTATGAACACAGAAAAGTGCCATCAGATTTTGATCCACAATGCAAAAATATCTGGAACACATCTGATTAACAACAGCTTCATTTTTCAGCATGACAATGCTCCCCAACCAAAATGCCAATGCAGTAAAATCATACCTGCATAGAAAACACACAGTGGAGCACTATCAGTCATGGATCAGCCTTCCCAGAGTCCGGACCTCAACATTACTGAAGCAGTGTGGGATCATGTTGACAGAGAACAGAACAAAAGGCAGAAACATCCAAAGAAGAGCTTTGAATGTCCTTCAAGAAGCCTGGAGAACTATTCCTGAATACGACTTAAAGAAAGCTGCCTAAGAGAGTTCAGACTGTGCTGAAGAATAAAAGTGACCATAACAATTTAGACACAGTAATATAAAGAAACAACAAAAATGTAGATACATAGATATCTAAATGGACCGATGCCTTCAGTTGAGTATTTGTTTCTTTAATGAGTCCATTTATTTTTTGATTACGACTCTCGTTACAGAAGCGCAGTGCATGCCTATAAAAAGTCCACTGAGGAAAGAAATCAAATCACAGAAACAAACAGTCCTGGTCCTCAGAACCCACACCTGATTATTTCTTGATTAGCACAACACACCTGACACCTGATCCAGCTAATCAGCAAAAGAAAGAAAAAACGAGACCTCTGCAGAGCTGGGATTTCTGCCAGGCTATGTTGGTTTTTTTTTATTTCCAGTCTTCAACTGTCCAGCTCTTTTGAGCCTGGTGCCCGCTACTGCCTCCGATTACTCTTGCTGGCTGACAGGAGTGGAACTCAGCTGTGTCTTCTGCCTCGTCTGCCTCAAGCTTTGACATGCTGGGCATTTCTGAGATGCTTTCCTGCTCACCACTGCTGTAAAGAGTGGTTTATCCAAGTTACCGTAACCTCTCTGTCAGCTCAAACCAGCCCAGACATTCTTCTCTGACCTCTCGAAAAAAGAAAACCCCAAAAAACAAGGCGCTTCGGTTTGCAGAAGTGCCTCTCATTGGATGATTTTGGGCTTCGGAGTATTTGGAGTATATCCCAGGTGATTAGCCCTTTCTAAAGAGGTTTATGTAATTTTATGCTATGTATCCTTATGTATGAGAAAACCGAGAGGCTGGATGTAATATAAAACACAAATTTGTACCTTAATCCTTTAATGCCAAGTATATCATATTTAATACATGGGGTTTTTTGAATTTTTGAGACTGCTACATCATCAGTGTAGTAAGCAATAAAACTGAACAAAAATGTCATCTGTAGCAAAAATGAAGCTCCAAATTAAACCTGATTTACGCAATGTGATATTTAATCTCTTTTTTTATTCGCCACAAGGTTTCACGGTTCAAGCCTCAGAGGGTTAACTTTCATACGTTCCACAATGCGTGTCATGTATATTCTCTTTGTTTAACATTTGCTGTGACATATTAGGTGTCATATTTGGTTTGAATTTCTCAGATCTTGGCTTAAATTTAACATAAACTTCAGTTGCATGCATTTCTGATGATTCCCCATGCCTCTGCTCAGTTAGCCTGCCTTGGGGTGAACAACAGGAGCTGTCCATGCTGAAACCCTTCATGTAAGAGAGCGTATGAGCAGCAGGGGAGCTGTCCTCACCCGTGGTGCTGAAACACTCACGCCTGTACAAAGGAGCTAGAAGAAGGACCTTGGGGGGAGGGGGGAGATGAGGGGGATCGAGGGGCGGGGCATCGGAGGATTCAAAGGCATTAGTCCTACTTCATTGAGCTGGGTTCAAAGGTCAAAACCCTGGGGTCACGCTGTAGCAGTGAGGGGACTGCTGCTGTTTGTGCCGCCTGTCCCCTGTGTGAAAGCAATCTGTTTTCAGGGGCTTCATCAAAAAGGCTCCACAGTATGTGAGGGGGTGAAGAGAGAGGTGAGGGAGAGCGAGACAGAAGGAGGAAAAACCAAAACCAAAACAAAAACAGGAAGTTAAGATGACAGAGGAATAAAGCGTCTGTTCACGAGGGAGGGAGACAGATAAGCAGAGATCAAAAATGGGGGAAAAAACGAGAAGGTGAGGACACGACGAGAGACAGACGGTGAATAGTAAAACAGAGAAAATACTGAAAGAAAGGGAGAACAGTGAAATGGCAGAGTGAGTGTGAGTGTTTCTTTCCTTTTTTTTTTGCAAGTCAACACAGTGCAACAGCCTTCACACGTGTCCTTGATATGGAAATGCGGAGTCGGGCGCTCAGATCACGTTCTGACAGCATGCACTGGAGGCATCTTTCCCTCCCGTCTGACGCAGGAGGTGAGCACTCTGTTTAAAAAAGCTATGGCAGATAAGGAGAGAGAGGGGGAGTCCCAGAGCCCGGCGCCGTCCCCCAAATCCCTCATCCAGACAAGCTTGATCTCCATTCACAGACACAGAGTCAGCTCCATTATTCGTTTGAATAGAGAATCTGCACTCGGCCGTCCAAAGCCTATCACGTAGTTTCATCAGCCAAAAAAAAAAAAAAAAAAGCGTGATATAAACTGCAAAAGCGCATGGTCTTTTTTTTTTTTAAAGGATGCTGGGAGGGCGAGAGCGCGGGAAAGCATTCAGATGGAGAGAGTAGTGCGTGCATGCACAATGAGATGATACATTTAAGGGAAAACGAAAATCAAATGGAGAACCTAATCCCTTCTAGAACCAGCAATAAATAACAGGAATCTGGACTGAAATTTTAATCTTTCTATTATTTTAAATTACAGTAGGGGAATTACATATTCAGGCACCGATCACAACTGTCAGGTAATGGCATCGATCCACTGCTTTTGTCCTTTCGCCGTTCGGCTGATGCTCTCGTACGCGGTAACCGCCAAAAGACTGAGGTTAAACGTCCAGCTCAGGACACTCCACGGCTGCTAATATGTGAGCATGTGGGCGGAACCTGTGACCTGCTCTTAATCTGTGTAGCCCCTGGGCCAGAGGCGTTTAAGATTTTATGTCTAATTACTTTTACACGTCCTCTCAGGGAATGAAGGGGAGGGGGAAAAAGGTTATGCTGGCCTTATTTCAGGCTTTCCTGCTGCAGCACTGAATGAACATTGAACAGAGAAATGCAAAAAAAACAAAGAAAAAAGGGTCAAGCGGATCCCCATCCCCCAACCTGAATCCTTCTCAGCCACCCCCTCCTGCTCCGTGACACTACATTAGCGAATCTGCACGGAGTGAAGACTTCCCTCCGGGTCAAGCGGCTGTCTGAGCAGGGCCTGCTTGATTAAGATGGATGTGCATGGCTGGGATGAGGCAGAAACTGCCCATGGCTGCCCTCCTCTAATTCCATCTCCTGCCTGGCAGCTGTCTATAAGACTGCTGCCTCTACCTGTAAATTATCCTAATCCAGAATGACAAGCAGCCTACCCCACCTACGGGCACGGCCAACTCGGCGGACCTGCAGTGATGATATGACTGCTGGAGGAAACAGTGTGAGAGAGTCCTGTAGCACCATAAAAGGCATGGACCAAAGCATGGATGCTTATATAAACCCTGCACCCTTCCCGATCTTTGACTTTCACCTTTGATAATGAAGTCCGCTCCGCTCTCTAACGCTTCCCAGAAATGAACCTTCTTCAAGGCCAGATCGATGGGCAGCGGTGACCATGCATAATTTTCCAACCTTCCTTTGCGCTGGCTGCTTTGGCTAAGTACCTTAGCCAAGGTTTAATATTTCAAGGTTTCCTTAAAGGTTTAGTGCAATGAAACCTTTTAAGGAAACTTAATTCAGCTGAAAGCATTCAGAAAACACAGGTGAGGAGAAACCTCCCAATATGTTTGCTCTACCCTCTACTCTCTCACCTCTGTCTCCAGGAAACGCCGCAAGGCCCTCTTCTTTTTGATGCTTTTGCGGCGAACATAAACGGCCACGCTGAGCGCCAGAATGACGATGATGAATAGGCCGCCGATGACTCCAGCTGCTATCAGGGGTGTCCTGTAGAGACAGGGGAAGAGAGAAAAAAAACATGAACACTGCTGAAACATTAAGAAACTAACGAGCACACTGCAATAAAGTGCAAACCTCAGCCAGTGCTGACAAATTATCCAATCTGCTCCAACACCCTTTAGATTTAACCCCTGAAGGTCAAATTGAGTCTTCTGCCGGAAAAATGCGATGCTCGCTTCAAGATCGCCATAAAAGTTTATTAGTGGAGCGGCCCATTTCTGTTGGGCTAAGAGATCGTTTGATGTCAGTGGAGCCATGTGGAAAACAAACAATGTTCTGCTAAGAGCCTTTTTCAGCATCTGCTAGCAGCAATTAAATAGCTTGTTTGTGCCGTGTGTCGCACAGTTAAACTGTCGATTTTTAATCGGTCAAAATGCTTCTAATGTAAGGCTGACACACACTCATCACCGGGCATCTAATACTGAAGCCGCTGATGTTTCATAGACAAAGTGTCCCTTTAACTGCACACAGCAACACTGGATGATAACATAGTAGTCTTGTTTTAAATATTGAATTTTACTGATGCTCCAGTTTTCAACAACAGTCATCTTAAGCTGTTTTGTATTCTAAGGTAAAGGAAATGTGCCTGAGGTGCTTGGTGAAGACACCTATGACAGAACAAGGCAAATGTGACGGGATGCCATGATCGGTCTGGGTGAGGGGAAACAGAAGTCCGAAACAGTAGGACAGAAAATCGCACATTTATCAGACAGAAGCTGTGCATTGTTTTCTTCACTTTTTCTCCCTGCTAGGTTAGATTTACGTACCAAAAACTATTCAGTAAAGTCTAAATTATTAGATGTAGGGGGAAAAAAAGCTAAGATGAGGTTTAGATACCAAAAACTACTTGGCCGGCTTTACACTCCTATGTGTCTACGTCTAATGCGTCTAAAACTACTTTGTTCGGTTTATGCACCAAAATCTACTCTACAAAAGCTGTTGGTTTGATTTGCACACTAAAATTTATTTGGTTTATGCACCAAACCTATTAAGATAATTGGGTTGGGTTTAGGTGAAAAACAATAACATACATAACAATAACACTGCGGATTTAAATGACATCAATGGGTCCATATGAGATGATTTGCGAGACCAGGGCTGTCTTCGCACAGATGCCAAAGGACACTTTGCACCTATCTCTGAGACACCAGCAGCTTCGACAGTGAGACAGTATTTGACGCCCCTGGAATGAAAACCGGGTTGGTTTAACTCTTCTTGCAAGTATTTTCCTTTTTTCTGCCCTTGCTGCATGGCTCATGACTTCTTAGATCACCTCCCCGACTCATGCCTTACTCTTCAAACAGTCCAATCTCCCACCAGCAACCACCCACAATCCTTAATGTGACTGTGGCCAGTCTTTCTCAAGTTGCTCACACCTTCCCTCATGTTGTTGCAGCGACATGCAATAATAAACAACCTCGGACACACACAGCTATTTTTACTACCTTCCCTAACCCATTTCACCAAACAGTCCCACCCTATAGAGCACAGAGCAATTTCTAATTGAAGGGTACTTCCATTTTCACAGGTCAGAAGATAAAAGCCTTTGAGGCTATGTGATCCTTTTACTTGCTTTATTAAAGGAGCCACAGCTTCTGCTACACCGCGCTGGATTTCCTTATAGTTAATCCAAGCCCAGCAACTCATACGAATTAGTTTTCACTGACTTTCAAATTTCGAACAAATGAGAAATTAACAGTACCTACCCTTCGCAAATTGCTTCTCCATCGTCTGAGGTGAATCTTGCTTAAGGCAAGCCTAAAGGTTGGAAGTTAAAAGCTATTTCTCTTCACTAATGATGGCACTAATGCATTTGCCATTTACATACCCCTTTCACTTGTGTCTAGTGTTACGCTACTACTCAATTCTTTTCTTAATAACACTCTTTTCTTTTGTTACCCTCATTCTTCTTCTCTTTCTTTCCAATCTGTATTCCATTTTCCCCTTCTTGCTGATGGCAGAATCAACACAACCGCATAGCATAAAATAACACCTGCTCCCACCTGATACCTGAAGTTGAAAACTCTATTAGTTGTGGAAGCCATTAGCGGCTAATGGAAGACTTGTGTACCACGGTGCTCTGGTAGAGGAAGGTGCCGCAGCATTTGCCATATCGATTGTGATGGACTTAAAGAAGGGGGAGCTTGAAATTTACAAAGAGGCTGTGGGCTTCGACATAATGAGATATACGGCCATGTGGTGAATAGTAATGCGGCAGTTTGAAATGATTAGGTCGAGAGGGGAAGACAGACAAGGAGAAACAACAAATAAAGGAAGTGTAAGGGGTGGGGGGAGCTGTAGATAGGAGGTGAGAAATAAGGAGAAGGCAGGAGGGGGGAGAAAAAAGAACAAACAAAAGAAGATGAGAAACTGGCAGTGACACAAATTACAGAGTGAGACAGCGCTAAACAAGGGAAAGGACTACTTTAATTAGGAGGATAGGTTTTATAGCAAGACAAGTGACACAGGGTCATCAGATGAGACAGGGGAATAACGCCGCTGTAAGAGCAGAAGAAGAACCCGGAGACTCAGCAAAAGACTCCCAGAGGAAAGTAAAAAGGTCTAATTTTCTGGGTTTAAGAGGACCTCGTGGCTTCTGTTTTTATTGGTATACTGGTTTGGTTAAATTCTAATGACTCCGTCTCTCTTTAGAATTTGCTCTAATTGTCTTTTATGGGTGTTTTAATAGAACTGTTGTCGTCCTCGGGCTGTTTAGGTTTACCACATGTTCTTAACCCTACTTGCTTGCTGTTGTTTTGCCCTTTTGTTAATAATAGTAATACGGTTCTCTGTGCCGTAGCTGGTAACGCAGCTGCTTTTATGTATTTTGGGGATTTCTTGCTGCCACCTGCTCTTTCAGCCTTTTGAACATTTAGTCTTGTATCTTAATAATAATAATAAAATTCTGTATTTTAAAAGTGTGATCTTTTTAATTTGTTTTTGTACTTTACTAAGCCAAGATATAATAGCAGCCAAGTCCCATTTCAATATCAGATCCTGGTTTTATAAAAAAGTTCAACAGTTTGGCAAATGCACCTATGTGTTTCCTTTTAGCACAAAAATCTGGGAGAGGATTAGCCAACAAAAGTAACACACAACATTGGGCATAACCAGCTATGAGTTAATTGATGTCTGGACCTCTGTAGGATGGTAAAAATTGGCACCTTCAACTTGTACTTTATTTGCATAGCACATTTAAAACAACTAAACCGAAAGCACTAAATTCTCTAAAAGCCAGGGAAAACAGGCGAGCTTTGGGTAACAACATGAAGGCCCCTAAATTATTATCAGATCTGGTGTTCAGGGGTAGCGGGTCCACAGTGTAGGGCCTACAAGTATTATAAGAACAGTAGAGGACCTTAGTGCCGTAGCAGGAGTCTGGATACTTAAAAGCTCAGATAAATAAGGGGAGGGGGGCCCATTCAAAGACTTAAAAACAAGCAACGGAATTTTAAAATCCATTCTTAAATAGACAGGAAGTCAGTGAAAAAAAGAGTAAAACTGGGGTAATGTGACGCTCTAGATCAGCGGTCCCCAACCGTTTTTGCGCCACGGACCGGTTTATGCCCGACAATATTTTCACGGACCGGCCTTTAAGGTGTCACGGATAAATACAACAAAATAAAACTAGTACTGGTACCAAAAAAAAGAAGATTTATTCATAACACACGTGAAAAGACCCAGGAAAACCGAGTTAACGATAAAAACAATAACAAAATAACGCTGAAAACCGATAAAAACCCCGAAAAGCATACATTTCACACTTGAGCCTCTACTCTCGCGGCCCGGTACCAAACGACTCATGGACCGGTACCGGTCCAAGGCCCGGGGGTTGGTGATCGCTGCTCTAGATGGCTTTTACTTTGAAAAGACTCTGAAAAGGCCCTACTGTGCCTCTGACTGGGTTGCTTTTAGAGGTGTTAGGTCGAAGTGTGACTCATGACGAATGGTTTCTGCTGTTGTGTAGTAACTTTTTTTCCCCAAATGCTTTTTTTTAACATTTCAAATGAAGGGATGATTCCATATTTCCACATACCAGAAAAGGAAAGCTGTTTTTTTTTTTAAGTTTTCAAAATTTGACTGTGTTGTAATGCTTTGATCTAGTTTATTTAGAAGTTTAGGCTACTGGTCAGTGGGGCAAACGTTTTACCCCTAAAATGTGATAGATTAAGTGAAAAAAAGCCTCACTATTTTCTAAACCCTGATTATGACCCTGCACGTAATGAAATCACTACTTGGTGCACTATATTTACCATCTGCCATTCTAATTCTGAGTGTTTAAATGATTCACCGTGCTGTGGATCAAAAAAGAGGTAGCGTCTTTTACCCAATTTAACCTGAATGTTCTTAGATATGAAAAAACACTAACGTAGCAGATCAGTGATTGTAATTACAGAACTAGCTATTATGTCAGGAGTCTCTGGTGGTGGTCTGTCAACATAATAATCAAAATGGAGCTAAAACGTGCTGACAAGTTCATTTTTTCTTTACTCTTTCCCACAGCTTTCCATCTTCATACTTTACACAGCTACTTTACAGAAGTGGCTTCCCATCATCAGTTAGTTATTAAAGTGTTATCAGTTTTGCATCTTTTAATTATCAATGAAAAGATTCATTTAAAAGATTCACAATTCCTTTATACCCTCTCCAATGTGTTAAAAGGCCTAAAACTGATGTGTCACTATGACAAAGTCCAAGTAAACAGATATATAAAAATAAATAAATAAATTAAGCCATTAAATGCACCATGACATTATTAAATAAACGTATAAACAAATTATTTGATAAAGTATTAGAAGAATACTCAATTCTGTTTTCATTTGCTTATGTGTATTATTTCCCCGTTATTAATTTGAAATTTTTTTGTGCATTTCTGCTTCATTACCAAACGAGGAGGGGGCTTTCAGCCTGATTAGAAATTAGCAATCATCTCACCGCAGGATGCCGTCTCTCTAAAGGATAAAAAACTGATACCACAGAACACTTCCAATGACAGACGGTCTTATTTAGAATGCTCAAAAGAATGTAAAAAGAAGAAAATAAAAATAAAAATGTGACCAAAAACGTATAAATATACTTAATATAAAGACTGGTGCTTTTAATGGCAGTTTCTTAATGTATATTTTTCTTTTGGCCACCCAAGTACTGCTTTTGCCATCACTGAAAAATAAATATAATAACGAAATTAAAATTAAAAAGTTAACTAAAAATGTAAAATTAAATTTTAAATAAGAAGGACAATATAAATATAAAATATAAATATAAAAATGTTGCTAATATCAGTTTTTCAAGCAAAAATTTACAACATACAAAGGACCAAAATCATCATTTATAATCAAATAAAAGAAACATTTTGTAAATATCTTTTGGCACTTTTGGTCCTCCATACGCTCTATCCCACATCTGTTAAGGTTTTCAGAGGATTTTTGTTTTCTTTTTTTTCCCCTTGCTGGTTCCATCTACACATATCAGACACAGTCAAAGTAACATAATTGGACCAGACGAAGGCTTAGCACAAGCTTAGACAACAACATAAGATTCCCATGTTACCTGTCAGATGGACTACACTGTTGTTAATGAGCATCATAAGGTACGGGATTTAACAGAAACTTTAATGAGTTTTAGCAGGATCTGATGGTGGTCTCCCAGTCCCACATCACAAATGTATCCTGAGATGCCTTACCTGTCCATCATCCCAACACAATCTTGGAGTCTTGGCCCGACGCACCTGCAGGGCAGAGAAACCAGAGAGATCATCCATTAAATCGGGGACAGGTTATGAGTAAACCTCATGTTGCTTTTCTTCCACGTCAATCAGCTGTCACTGGGCAGGGACCTGTGAAATATTGAATCCCGAGCATGGCTGACCGCTTGTCAATATGACACGAAGAGGTGTGTGAGCTGGAAGGCTTGTTTGTTCTCATTTGGTTCACGTGCTATTTCAATGGATTTCTGGGCTGAGACAAAAAACCCAACAAACATCCCAACATACATCATTTAGTTCAAACCAAAGTGCTGTTTCAAACCTATGGGGAAATCAATGGGAAAGAGACAAATATCAATCTAAAAAGAAAACTTTCAATAGTTATAAAAGATTAATAACGGCAATTTAAAAAAGAGCACAATAAGGCCATTTCTGACTCCACTGAGCATTTCCTCATTTTAGCGACAAAAAACAGTAATGAGGTTGAGAAATGTTGGGTGTGAACTTGTGATCTAAAGTTTTAGAGAATGGAGGTCAAGATTCACATATTCTGGTATGACAGGATTTACTGTCGGGCCTTCTAGTGGTATTAACAGCCACCCTCATTCCTCACACAGCTTTATAAAGTGGCATTTACCTTAAATATGGAAGCTGCAGGGATATTTCTTAAAAGAATCTAAAGCCTTTTATGGCATACAGTTTTATTGCAGTGGTGTTATACTGTTTGCATGTCTGCTTGATAAACGGCTGAGCATAATGACAGCTTGTCAGTGAGGAAAAAGGAGCCGCCCAAGTGATGAATACACAGATAATAATCACCTAAATATGCAAATCTCCTCAGCTCTTTGGGGTTTTTCCGCTCTCTGTATTTACAAAAATTTACATTTACAAAAGCAGCTTTCAAAACCCACCGCACGCTACCTGCCCAGAGACACGTGGCAGATGGACAAGACTTCCTACTCCCTAAAAAACAAAGTAAAGCATTAGAATTGATCAAATTGATAGATAGCAGCATGTGTTTCCTTCAAGGATTGGTGGAGAGAGAAAAACAGAGGTTAACAGAGCAATGTGACTGTATACGTATGTGCGACAAGCTTTTTGGAGTTAACCATTTTATTGGGTAAGCTATCTGTAATTTGGGCGAGGCCTGTATGGGTCAACCCATGGTGGAGCCTTTCGAACGCATTGACCTCATTATACATTTCCTTGAAGATTCTTCCTGCCTTAGGAAAACCTGATGCCTACACTACAACGTAGAGTATTTGAGGGCTTAGTTCAGGGTTAATGCTGCGTTTTTATTGTTACAAAAATGTACTTTTCACAAGGGTGATGGTAACTTCTGCTGCAGACCTAACATTCATGTACAATATCACTACCTACTGATCAGCTAAGTTCCTAGATGATCTTGTGGACTACAGTGGATAGATACTCGGGGTATCTATGGTTTTAAGATAGTCTAAAGCAGGGGTGTCCAACTCCAGGCCTCAAGGGCCAGTGTCCTGTAGGTTTTAGATGTTGCCTTGATCCAACACAGCTGATTCAAATGGTTTGAAGTTCTCCAGATGCCTGGTAATGAACTAATCATTTGATTCAGGTGTGTTGACCCAGGGTGAGATCTAAAACCTGCCGGACACCGGCCCTTGAGGCCTGGAGTTGGACACCCTGGTCCACAGCTTCGCTATGACAACCATCAGTAAGTACTGCATATCTCATCTAGCTGTGAGCAATGTTATCAAAGTCTCAGTGTAGCCTCAATGTAACATGGCAGCTACATCTTATACCTTAAACGTTCTGAGCTTGTATACAATTTGCAGGTAAGCCTACTTTACTGCTTTTAATTATGCTTTATTCTTTCTTTGCACATCTTGTTTTTCAGTCCATTTAACATCAGTGAGGTTTCTGCTGAAAGAATTTAGTCTCTCCAATGTCTACAATACATGTTTCCATCACATTTATTAAATTATCAATCATTTCATTGTTAATTGGCCCTGCCGTGAAATGTTTGATGACTGAAAAGAAGAATGCTGTAGTGTTTCTTGTGAGATATCACTCTTTATCTTTCGAAGAATCACATTTATCTTTTTCTCCAAGAACAAGAAATACAAGTTTATCTTTGTTTCTTCCTATCGGAACAATCAAAGCAGGATGGTGGTGAAAGCACAGCGATCAGTAAGAAGTGTTGTTAACACTAGGTAAGCTGGAAGTGATTAGAGTAGACTCTTAGCTGCTCATTAATTCCAGATCCTTGAATGGAGGACTTTTGAACAACAAGAAAGACACAGGAGAACAGGTTTTGAATGCTTCGGTGTGTGTGCACGCGAAGGCTGTGTGAGCACACACGACACAACAAATTGCTTAGCAAATTAGGAGAGCAGGCTAACTTTGGAATTAAATCGGTGACAACTGTGGCTCCTCAAAAGTCACTTGGTTGTCAATTAAATGGTGTACCAAATAGCTAATTAGCAAGTAATCAGTGTCTGTATCCAGTGTTGTGTTGTGTTGTGTGTGTGTGTGTGTGTGTGTGTGTGTGTGTGTGTGTGTGTGTGTGTGTGTGTGTGTTTTCAATCAGTTTTCTTTCTGCATTAGCAGAGAACAAAGGACTTTTCTGACAACAGACACAACAAGCCAGGGATTATTTTTTGTCAGGAAAGTCGTCTAATGAGTGACCTGCCATGTGAACGTGTCCTTAAACAAGGTACCGATTCTATACAAGATAATATTAATATTAATATATATATAATATAATATTCTTAATATATATATATAATATTCTTAATATATATATATAATATTCTTGATCTTCAACTTGTGTATCTGTAAATAATTTGTACCTTTTCCATCCTTTGTCATCCCCTCTACTTCGAAAATTCTCCTTTCCATGTCTCTTTAAAGCTGCACTGATACTATCAACATTTACAGGCTAGCTGCAGTAAAATAAAATGACCTCCTGCCATGTTAGAGAATGAACATTAAGTTCCTTTCTACTGCACATCGTCTCGCCAGCCCTGTTGCTAGGATTCAGAAGTCTAACTTTGTTTGCAGAGACCACCGACAAGCTCCACCTCAGCACCTCACTCATCATCTTCTGTCTGTCTTACCAGTCCCCACTGTTCGGCTTCTTCCATAATAGTCTCCCCACTAGCAGAAAATCTAAAAAGGCCTGGGCTCAAGTTCAAAGCCAAAGCCATACTGGCTTCAAAAAACAAGCTTTAGAGGATGAAAACATAAACAGGTAAGAACGGTAAATTTTCCCCACAACCACAACTGCCATTCTTTTGAAGACTTATACTGCTTTGGCCTCAGTATTAAAGTATGTCGGGAGAGACGTGATGGCTAAACTATTATTTATAACTTTGATTGGCAGGCATTTTGTAGAACATTAAGAAACTCACATAAATTCACTGTGTGTTTAAATCTGCCACATTTTATTTAGTTATTTTATAGTTTAAAAAGGAACAGAACACATTTAAAACTAAGTGCACTGGTGATACCTAGCTGCTAATGTACATCTGTTGTCTCAGAGCACACAGACAGTACTCAACTTCAAGACAACAAAAACAGCACATAAATAATATATTATAATATATGATATATAAAAGTTAATCAGTGATAAAATTCAATCAATATGAACAGACAGATAAAAGGCTGCTGGTGGTTGTGCTAAACTTAGCAAAAAAAGTGATGTTATCACATCCTTCAGAGCATTAGGGCACAGGTTAACCTTTAGGGAAATAATACTTTTGGATTTGTTGGGTAGAATATGATAGGAAGGTTTACACCGTTTTCATTATTTTTATGAAAAAAATAAAGCTAAGGACTAGCTTAGTTTAATGCTAACTGGCTTAGTTTACTGCTAAGCTAAGACCATTAGCTTAGAAATAAACTAAGCCAAATAGCAAATAAGGCTAAAAAAAAAGAAAAAATATTTGGCTCTGTGCAAAATTATATACAACACAAACATCTGCCCAGTTTTTGGAGGTTGATGGGTTAGCTAATGGGGACATTTATAAACCTGTTTCCTGTCTCTATACATGGCTAAGCCGATTTCCAACTAGTTTTGGCTACTAGCTATCATGGTCTGGGTGCAGTGTTGCCAACTCCTCAGTAAGGAAAATTGCTATTGGCGGTCCTAAAACTCGCTAGAAGTCGCTAAATGACGTCATTGCCTAATTTGCATAATTGGTCATGCTAATCTAATTGTAACCTATGTTGTTGGAGAGAGAAATAACATCGTGGAAGAGACATAAAGTGAGTAAAAAACGTCCTAAATTGCATCTAGAGTTTATATAGAAATACAAATTAAATTTCTTTTAGCAATTATTGTTTTTTTTAATGTCACTATTCCAACCCTGCTCCTTTACCCGGGCTTGGACCGGCAAAAGTGACCCGAAATAGGCACTCTGGTGGAGTTACTTTGTGTGTGTGTGTTTATAAGTAGTTTTAAACCTTGTGATCCACAAAACAGCATAAGAGTAAAAGAGTAAAAGAAGAACTGACTGCGTTACAGCACCCGCTGCTTGTTGAGAGTAAAAGCAATACGCGCTTTCACGTCTTTTTTTTAGAAAAAAAGTCGCTAAGGGGTCTTTTTTTAGAAAAAAAGTCGCTAAGGGGTCTGAAAACTCGCTAAATATAGCGACAAAGTCGCTAAGTTGGCAACACTGTCTAGGTGTGGCTGGAAAATTCCGCTGAAGGTCTGGACCTCCCTGGTATCCACCCATGGGCAGGGCCTACAGCCTCCCTCACCTGAAGCTGATTGAGGCAATTAGGTTGGAGATTTAAGCTGCTTGCTGACACTGCTTCCTCGCCAGTTCGTCAACTACCCTATGTTGGTAACCAGGCCTCATGCGTCTTGTCTATGATTCTCAATGCTTTACTTACCTTGCAATCTTGTGTTCTAGTTACTCCTGGAAATTCCATCACACTGAACCACTCATCTTGGAAATCTGGTTAACCCGCCTGCTTTCAGAATCATCTCCTTGCCTCACCTGCCTGCCCTCCTGCCCTTACACCACCACAGGATCTTCACCGCTCAGTTACAGCTGACACACACCACCAAACCCACCCAGACCGCACTACCTCTCCTTCAACGCTTCCATCTCCCACCTGCACAGTAAGACGAAGATTTTCATAGCTTCCATCCTCTCCAGAACTCCTCATTGGCTACCGCTTTAACACTGCTCTCCTCTCTTCCAGTACGTAGCTAATCACCAGCCAGCTGCCGTTGCTTTCTTGGACCTGTCCCCTTGCTTTATCCCTTTCCCCTGGCCAAGACCCTCACGTCCCATGTGTCAAGCCTAAAGCCAAGTGCCATCGTAAACATCATTCTTATGCTAGTTAATAAACCTTTGTTGAAACCTTTCCTCAGCCTCCGCTTTGGGTAATCTGCACGTGGGTTTGATTTTTGGTACTCGGCCTCCAGCCGTTTTGTGACACCAGCGTAATGTACTAATGAGGGTGCTGTCAATCTAACTGTTAGCAAGAGAGCAAATCTGTATATTTTCTGAAAGTTAAACTATTACTTTAGTCCAATTTTAAAACCCACTACTTATATGCAAAACAAGACACTACTAATAGCCACTTGAGGCTAACTTCAAAAGTGAGCCATGATACACCCCATGTTAAAATCCCCAACTTTACAGCAGAATTAATCATATTTATAGCTTAGTATAACAAAACAGTTTAGTCTCTAATGTCCTGTTCTGTGACAACTATATGATTATTTTTTAAATACGAAACTCAGCCTTTTAAATTACATTATGCCTTAAAGAAATACACGAGTAGCTAATTGGCTATAAAGTGGCAAATTCAACTCAATTTAAGAATATTCGTGGTGTAGATGATTATGTACCCTCTCTCACTCATAATGCTAGAAACTGGGCTCAAGAGACTAAAAGGTTCAGCTAAGTGATTGCCAATTTTTAAAAAAATCTGTCAACAAATATCAACAAGTGGCTATCTCATTTTCCCAGGGCCAGATTCCTCTGTCCTTACGGCTTGTTTTCTCAGATTATGGGTCAAAATGAAAACATATTTGCAATGATATGAAATAGAAAAACAAGCAATAAACTGTCATTTTTGTACAAAGTCTCAATAGATTAACTGAATAACTGATTCAGTACTAATCCCCATTATCATCTCACACCTATTTTGGCAGCTATCCCTGGATGAGTTCTAAATGTGCTTTTTACAGCAAGCACAGACAGTTTCCCCAATTTTTATTCAAATGTAAGCAGAAGATGGCAAATGCTATCTTGCTCACTCCTTAATGAGCTAAATCTGGGCCTTTTTGGATCTTTGGTGCATGCAGCTCTTGTTCACTCTTCCACCTGCTTCTTTACCTAGAGCCAGCCATTTTTCCTCTATGTCTTCTTTATCGTTTTCCCACATCACTCTGCCTGCTGACTTCATATCTCCCCTACTACTGTCTGTCCCTTCATTCATTCATTCAGTTCATCTGCACTGTACCTTAAGGGTCAATACATTCCACCCCTGACTGGAGGGCATCCCCAAATCTAGCAACAGGTCAAAGAATGTAGCACCTGCAAGATTAAATCATGCTCTCTCCCTCTTTCAGTCCCCTCTCCTTGGGAGAGAGGTGGTCCTTGTCTGTTATACCTCCTGAGTGCAATGCAGTATGACTCCATGATGCTTTTAACAGCATAAAAGCACCAAAGCCAGAAGCTGCTCAGGGTAACTATGAAGGCGAGTGGACACTTGAAAGAAACGGATTAACTTTTATACATAGACACATCTTTATGTATCATCCCTCTCTTACCCCTGGGTGCAATTGGCATGGCAGGGATGACACTCGTTGTTGGCCTTGGCGTATTTGAAGATGAAACTGTTGGCTCCCTGCAGCCCATCGGGGCACTTCTCTACGCAGTTAGGGCCGTCTTTGAAGTGGAGGCATTTTACACACTGGTCTGGGCCCTGTGAGGAGAGCACAACAAGGAGGAGCGAGATGAGAAGATGGGTTACAAAGAGGGTGGTAGACAAGGGGTGAATAAAGAAGAAGGAGGTAAAGGTGGCAGTAAGAGGAGATAACATAAAACAAGAACAAAATAATGGGTGAAGAGCTAAAAGAAACCAGTGGAGAAAAATAAAGTTAAGAAAAAGTTCATGGAAATTCATACAGCGATAATCCCACATGAATCCCAAGCAATGATTTATACATTGTATTGCAAAAAGTATTTGCTCGTGTGCCTTAACACACACATGAACTTGAGTGACCTCCCATTCTTTATCCATGTGATGTTGGCCCACAATTTGCAGCAATAACAGCTTCAGCTCTTCTAGGAACGCTTACCACAGGTTTAAGAGTGTTTATGAGAAGTTTTGACCGTTCTTTCAGAAGAAAATTTATGAGGTCAGACACAAAGGCCTGTCTCATAGGCTCTGCTTTAATTCATCCAAATTCATTTGTCCTTGCTTTGTGCACTGGTCATGTTGGAAGAGGAAGGTACCACCCCCAAACTGTTCCCACAGATGTCTTGGTATGCTGATGCATTAAGAGTTTCTTTCACTGGATCTAAGGTAATCCCCCCTCCACCAAACTTTACAATTGGCACAATGCAGTCAGACCAGTACTGTTCCCCTGGCGACCATCAAACCCAGACTCTTCCATTTGATTTCCAGACAGAGAACTAAGATTCGTCACTCGAGGAAACATATCTTCACTACTCTAGAGTCCAGTGGTGGGGTGCTTTACACCACTGCATCCGACCCTTGGTGATCTAAGGCTTAGATGCAGCCATGCTGCCATGGAAACCTGCGCCATTAAGCTCTCTACGCACCGTTCTTGAGCTAATCTGAAGGCCACGTGGAGTTTGGAGTTGGTGACGTCTGTGCAATATGTGCCTCAGCATCCACAGACCCCAGTGTGATTTAGTGTAGCTTCTACTTTGTTCTAATCCCACTAACAGTTGACGATTGAATATTTAGTAGTGTGGAAATTTCACGTCTGGACTTGTTGCACAGGTTGCATCCTGTCACATTACCACACTGGAATTCACTGAGCTACTGAGAGTGATGCATTCCTTCACACATTTTTGTAGTAGCAGTCTGCATGTCTGGATGTTTGATTTTATACACCTGTGGCCATGAAAGTGATTGGAACACCTGAATTAAAAGATTTGGATGGGAGAGTGAACACTTTTGGCAGTATAATCCATGTTGAGCTAAAGTGCCTGGAATTTATTCCACTGTATCCCTGATAAAACTGGGAAAATGGTTAGGGAGTCAGGTTGTGCCAAAAAAAAGTGCACACTGAAAGTGATGGAGGAGACGACAAGAGGTAAGTGAACACGAGCTCAGCTGCAGCAGGAGCATGAATAAGTTAGAATGGGAGCGGAAAACTGACTGTACACTTTGTGTGAATGTCTATGTGCGTGTGCACGAAGTGCTGACAAAAGTGTAAGCTTAAAATTGCACAGAGGTGTGTGTATGTGTGTGTTGTGAAGAACAAGTTGCATTCTGGCGGCTGGGCTTTTCAGCTCCACGCTCTGCTGCTAATGACAGCCACGGCGACCTGATGGACAGCTTCTCACCACTTGACACATTTAGACACACACCATCAATAAACATTATGCTCACTTTGCGTAGTTGCGTGTCTGTGTGTGAGCAGGGCAGATGCATACAGATGTCCGAATGCATTTAAGTATGTCCGTGGACACTGCGCATGTGCGTCTGCGTGTGACTGAGCACCCGTGGATGATTGACTCTGGTGTTATTCACTGCTCAGCTGTGACCAGCATCCCAACGTCACCAGCCTTTGCGCATCCTTGAGGAGCTGCTCTCTCTCTCTTCATCTGTTATTCTCTCCCTCAGACAGTCATAAAAGGTTAGTCACACAGTCACTAGAATCCGTGAAACAAGTCATGCTGCACATTAGATGCAACTTTTTCGTAATGAAACATTGCGCTGTAAAATCAGCTTCCTGTACAGTTATAGATCGTACCCACATTTGTCCCACTACAGTATTTATGCCACCAGGATTCAGAATTCATCATAGTAAAGAAAAAAAACAACAAGCAGGTAATTTAATTAAATAACAGTATTGTAATGGATATTATTGGATGTAATCACTCTATACTGTATGTGAGCACAAGTAATTTAGTCCAGGGGTTTTGAAATAGCTCAGAAAAAGTTTCCAAGGATATTCTCATAACCACGTGGATGTACCTGGTTTCAAATTCGCACGTCTTGATAACGCAGAATAAGTCACATACACAATATGCACAAATGGCCATATCTTTGAATTCAGGTGTTTTCAATCCATTTGACAGAGGCGTATAAAAACAAGTACCTAACCATACAGTCTGCCTTTATAAACATCTGTGAGAGAATGGGTCGTCCTACTGAGCTAACTGGAACAGAGTGCAGTGCTGTAATAGGATGTGGGACCAGCTCCCAGTTTGGATTCGGGAGACAGACACCCTCTCTACTTTTTCTTTTTCATAACGCTTATAGTTGAATCAGGTGACTCTGAATCCTCTCTTAGTTACAGTAGAATATGCCTAGGCTGCTGGGCGCTTGCCATGATGCACTGAGTGTTTCCTCTTCACTCAGTCATGTTTATCTCATTTCATCTCTGGCTCTCTTCCACAGTGTCTTTGTCCTGTCTTCCTCCCCTCACCCCAACAAATCGTGTTAGAAAGCTGTCCCTCTCTGAGCCTGGTTCTACTGGAAACTTGTTCCTCTTTAAAGGGAGTTTTTCCTTCCCACTGTTGCCTAGGACTTGCTCAAAGGGGATTGTTTAATTGTTGGTGTTTTCTCTGTACTATTGTAGGGTCTTTACCTTTTAACATAAAGCAGTTGAAGACAACTGCTGTTATGATTTGGTGCTAGATCTATAAAACTGAATTGAATCACGCTGAAATTGAATTCATGTCTTGCTCTTTCAGTATTTTTTCTGGCCCCTGGTGTCATCCATATGTATATTTAAAAATATTTATTTTATGGTGAGCTGTCTCACCTTCAAAATAAAAATTGCTGTAGTAAGGCACGCATTTTCCACTGAAGGGAAATGTTCTTTGTTTCTGGTTCGAACTTTCACCACACCTCGGGAATTCGTTGGTGATTGCTGCAATCACCTGTAGTTTTATATGAAGAATAGTAACTTGTCTGCAAACAATCTGCTGGCAACCAAACAAATCACAAGGAGGGTTTTGGTACAGCATCCTCATTGTGAAGGATTTCACCTGTCAACAGCCAGCAACCTCAAGGAACCGCTTAGCAAACGGTCAAGGAATACACATCGCTGACAGAGGGTCGTTGACCAGTCTCTAGACTTTAGTTGACAATAATTCTGATCATGTCCTGAGATCTGTATTCAGTTACAACATCTAGACTGATTTGTCAGCTTACTATATTTTCTTTTTATGCTTTTTACAAGTACAAAGTACAGAAAATATATAGTAATTCACAGGAATTTTAGCAAAAACTACCGCAGTTATGTTGTGGAGATTATTTTTGGCATATGTGGATTCTTCTGCTTTCCAATCCCTTTAATCATCCTGCAACTCCTGAGACGTTTGGCAACCTTTTCTGGGCGTCCCTGCAGGTTTGATACGAGCACTGGCGTATACCCTAGCATGATAATGATGCAGCTGCAGCCTTGCATGAGCAGATTTGTTTGCATTTGGTGTTGCTGCGTACAATTTCTGTGCACATGCATGCAGATGTGCATGTTCTCCACTGACATTTCAGCAAGGAAACATTTTGGAGAGTCGTATTGCGATCATTCTAAAAGTGACTTTACCGGAAGGTCAGAATCTAATCTCATTTTGCTTTTTTTTTGACTGTGTGCATGGGTGCTTGCCAAAAGCATGCCTCCAAAAGTAGCTACAGTACTTTATCATCCCTCCCATTAACCTACCATTCACCTTTGCAAACAGTACTTATATCTTCGGAAATCCTGTGTGCAAAACACAGCAAAATAAGTTGGAAATCCACTTTGGCACGTAGAAGATAGTCCCCTATCTCGCACAGAAAAATGAGGAGTGGTTTTAATCTAAACAGCTTATTTCCTGTATTTATAAAATGTATTCTTAAGTAAAAAGGAAGTTGAGACTGAGGGTCTTACCGGACCGAGACATGTCACAGTGTTTCCATCCATCTTCTCACATTGGCTATCGCACGCCAGGCACACGGATCCATTGGCAAATTCACGCTCTTCCCTGATAAATAAGAAAAATGAAAATAGGAATGCATGTATTATAGATTTGAGAGCACAGTGAAATATTGATTAAGAGCATGCCGCAAGTACGAGCTGTACATTGAGGCCTTTTTCAACAAAATCAAGTGTGATACAACAACCGGTTTATCTGGGTCATCTCCAAGATGCAGTGCCCTCTGCTGAAGGGGCATGCAGGGCAGCGAGCTACCTAAAACTATTTGACCAGGTTAACGGCTTAGTATGGTCAATATGCTTACAGAGAAAGTCCATGAATAATGAACGTCTTTTTAAATCATAGGCAAACATGAGGGGATGTGTGGAAGGTGGAGGAAGCAGGAGAAGAGATGGTGGGAGGGAAGGAGGAACGGGAAAGATGGTATGAAAGGCCACGGAGAGGGCATTTAGAGAGGGAGTTTGCTTTTGATAGGACCAGAGTGAAGAGACAGAGGGAGTGTGTGATAAAAGAAAAAGAAAAAAAAGCCAAACACATTTTCTTTTCATCCCGTTATCAAAGAATCACTGCGGTTCCTGCAACGTCTAAAACGCTTCAGTCAGCCGGTTAATGTGTACTTTATGTTGGTTTTGTTTTTTCGCTTCTGAGGGGAAAGAAAGTAAACAATAGAGCTCGATATTGGGTTTATACACTGCAATTACCCTGGCAAGAGCTCCACATAGCCCCAGGCCTTACTGTTGAATCCTTATATGTGTATATTGGTGTGTTTCTGTGCGTGATTGTGTGTGTGTGTGTGTCTGTGTGTGTGCACTCGCATACTCTCAATCTAAAAATTCCTGTCTTGTTTGTGTCCGAATAAGCGCATTATCTTCACTTTTGAAGTGCGGCGTCTCGGGCGGGCGGAGGCAGGCTGCTGTCAATAACAACTGCTGCCGATCAAAACCACTTTTCACATCAGAGGGATCGATCAGCCAATGCAGAGGACAGACGCTCTCAGAGGAGGATTCGCCCAGTTACAAACAAACCTCTTTCTCACAGCAGCGGGATAATGAAAGGGACTGTATGTGTGCGCGCGTGCACGTGCATGATTTTTGTTCATATTTGCATGTGATGCTATTGGGGTGGAATAAAGAGTCCACAGATTCCTCCTTGTGAGCTGTTTTTATAAGATGTGGCACTGAGAATTTTGGATCTCCTGCGGGTATGTGGGTTTTTATGCATTTTCATGTGGGTAATATTAGATGAAAACCTTTTAGACTCGGTAGTTTTAAAAGCAACAAAAAAAAGAGAAACTAAACATCCTGACACTCTAGTGTTCAGATCACATTAAAAGGCAATAAAAATGAAGATAAAATCCCAGATTTCCCTTTGCTGAGCCTTTATTTCAGGGTAGTTTTTCTTTAAATGGTCCTATTGATTCTTTATGATCACAGCAGTTTGTCTGACACATCCAAAAAGCAGAGTGTGTAAGCTACAGATGGTCCTTTTATTAATGATGTTTTCAGTGGGAAACTCCCATAGCTCTCTTTGCATTTCTCCCCCAGCTTTTTTTCCCTTGTTCCAAAATAAATTAGATTCCTCGCTCCGAGGCACTATGCAGGGGAATCCTTTAGGGGGGAAAAAGGCCCAGGCAGTGGAGAGATATCTCTTTTCTTGGTTGAGGTGGAAGAAAAGATACATGGAGCAGAATGGGTGAGAGACAAAGACCTCTGCAGTCATGCTCTCTGGGGTCATTTCCATTCCTTCAAAGCCGTTCTTCCTGATTGGCCTCCTTCACAGCTGGTAGTGCGCGCCAAAGCCCCACTGGGGGGATGACCTGATGGGGGATTAGTCCTGTTTTGGTGGAATTTAAGCAGGGCTGTGGCCGCTGTTCAGAAATCCAAACATCCAAATAGCCACAGCACGGTCAACCCACCAAAGCAACTTTTTAAATTTTTTTTAATTAAACCCATTCAGCTCCTCCCTCACTCACTCACTCCCTCCCTCCCTCCCTCCTCCCCCAACCCCAGTGGGATTGCATTTCAGTCCTCCCTGCTCACCCCCAAACTCCTTTGCTCTCTCTTTGTTTTATTCAACAGACGTATAAACTGAAGGGAGAAGAACGAGCTGAAGAATCTTAAGGTTTAAAATCACCATCCCGAGAACATTTTTAATGAGCTAACACTAAATTCTTGAGAGATATACAGTTCAGTAGCTTCAGAACAAAGTGAAATATTAAGCAAATCTATGCTGCATACAGCAAAAGTGCTGAAAATAAGCAGCGCTATGACAATCTGCTGTCCATATCCAGTCATTAAATTAGTGTACAGACTGTGGAAATAAGACTAAAATGATTTTTTAAAGGTGAAAACTATATATAACTCACATACCGTAACAGAACAGTATTGGCTGTACCCACTTTTTTTTAAAAATCAATTTAGATATGCCATGATGTGGCTTTTTTATGCAGATGATATGACTTTCTTCAACAATTCAACAGTGTATTTGTATCTACTTCTACAATCTTCAAGACACATGCCATAGAATAAAGAAAATGTACATAGCAAGAATAATGATATTAAACACAGTGACCCCATGGCAAACTCCAGTCACTGGGGAAGATTCCTTGACCAGTATTCGAAGCGGTTGGTAAAAAGTTTGGTCAGTCGCATGTTGCTGCAGTCGTATTTTGAAATGAAGGGATGGACTCATCTACAAACACTGTGCACTTACTCTCTGAGCTGCAAACTGTGAAAAATGCAACACAAGCCAGAAATTTAAAAAAAGTTCACTTTTACAGAAAAAAGTGCCTCAGTGCCACAACTTTTACTTGGAAGGCAAACTGTCTACATTGTTTCGCACTTTATCAAGTTGTACTGCCCTGCGGATAGTAGTTGAAATAGATAGTACGGTAGTTTTCGACCAATTTCACCCAGCAGGAGCCAGAAACTGCCAGGAATCTTTGCCAACCAGTCAGGGACTACACCTAGCAGCTTTTAAGAAGTGTAACCAGAGGTACACTTCAACTGTGAGAGACAGAATGTGAAAAAAAAATCCATGAATTCACATGGTAGGATTTGTAAAGAATTTATTCGTAAATTAGGGTGGAAAATAAATATTTGGTCACCTCAAACAAGGAAAATCTCTGGCTCTCACAGACCTGTAACGTCTTCTGTAAGAAGCTTTTCTGTCCCCCACTCGTTACCTGTATGAATGGCACCTGTTGGAACTCATCATCTGTATAAAAGACACCTGTCCACAGCCTCAAACAGTCAGACTCCAAACTCCGCCACGGCCAAGACCAAAGAGCTTTCGAAGGACACCAGGAAAAGTATTGTAGACCTGCACCAGACTGGGAAGAGTGAATCTACAATAGGCAAGCAGCTTGGTGTGAAAAAATCAACTGTGGGAGCAATCATCAGAAAATGGAAGACATACAAGACCACTGATAATCTCCCTTGATCTGGGGCTCCACGCAAGATCTCATCCCGTGGGGTCAAAATGATCATGAGAACGGTGAGCAAAGATCCCAGAACCACACGGGGGGACCTGGTGAATGACCTGCAGAGAGCTGGGACCAAAGTAACAAAGGTCACCATCAGTAACACACTACAACGGCAGGGAATCAAATCCCGCAGTGCCAGACGTGTTCCGCTGCTGAAGCCAGTGCATGTCCAGGCCCGTCTGAAGTTTGCCAGAGAGCACATGGATGATACAGCAGAGGATTGGGAGAATGTCATGTGGTCAGATGAAACCAAAGTAGAACTTTTTGGTATAAACTCAACTCGTCGTGTTTGGAGGAAGAAGAATACTGAGTTGCATCCCAAGAACACCATACCTACTGTGAAGCATGGGGGTGGAAACATCATGCTATGGGGCTGTTTTTCTGCCAAGGGGACAGGACGACTGATCCGTGTTAAGGACAGAATGAATGGGGCCATGTATCGTGAGATTTTGAGCCAAAACCTCCTTCCATCAGTGAGAACTTTGAAGATGAAACGAGGCTGGGTCTTCCAACATGACAATGATCCAAAACACACCGCCCGGGCAACAAAGGAGTGGCTCCGTAAGAAGCATTTGAAAGTCCTGGAGTGGCCTAGCCAGTCTCCAGACCTCAACCCCATAGAAAATCTGTGGCGGGAGTTGAAAGTCCGTGTTGCTCGGCGACAGCCCCAAAACATCACTGCTCTCGAGAAGATCTGCATGGAGGAATGGGCCAAAATACCAGCTACTGTGTGTGCAAACCTGGTAAAGACCTATAGTAAACGTTTGACCTCTGTTATTGCCAACAAAGGTTATGTTACAAAGTATTGAGTTGTATTTTTGTTATTGACCAAATACTTATTTTCCACCCTGATTTACGAATAAATTCTTTACAAATCCTACCATGTGGATTCATGGATTTTTTTTTTCACATTCTGTCTCTCACAGTTGAAGTGTACCTCTGGTGCAAATTACTGACCTCTGTCATCATTTTAGGTGGGGGAACTTGCACAATCGGTGGCTGACTAAATACTTTTTTGCCCCACTGTAAAAGCAAGTAAATACCAACTCAGCACTCTTTGTTGGTAGGTAGACACTTCTTACACCAGGCCTTTGGGTTATGGATGTTCTGATTCCACAAGTCAGGCCAGTGACTCAAAACAAAAAGTGGGCCTGTTGAATATTGCTTGCATTTCCTCACTGTGACTGACTGTATTTACAGTATTGGAAACAAGTGTGGTTCAGCCGCTCCCTGCCATGCGCCTTTCCTCGTCTTCTTCAAAGCCTTCGCTATGAGCTGTTTTCCCCGGCAACTTCAAAGCTTCCCTCCCACAAACGGCGCAGGAAAGGACCAGCAACAAGTCAACATGACCGAGGGTTGCTCGCTCTCATACACACTTACACACGCGCTCTCCTCTTCCCCTGAGGAAAACACGAGCCTGACATCACACCGCTTGGAAGAAAAGTCATATTTATCTTGTGGCAGATGCTGCCGGTACAGTCTTATTTTAGATGGATGCTTTCAAGTGTTGCGATTCACAGCATCTCCCCGTTCATTCAAGAACAGCAAGAAAAAGGCTGGAAACTACGTCTACAAAGGAGGGTTTCTCCCCAGGTGAGTTGGCAGTGATCTTTTTGATGTGCCTCTTGGCAACATAGAGGGATGACCTGAATGCAATTACTCACAGCAAAGATCAGTGGATTGTGAGGACACTCGGAAACAGCTTGCTTCATTTTCCTGCTCAGTGCAGTAAACACTCATGTCTGTCAGTCCAAATGGGTGATTTGAAATGAAATGTGCTTCAACAATGGTGTATACTTAAATTGAGTTTGGACAGTGGGTGTAATATGCAGCCAAATGTTCCTCTGACTGTTCGCACTGTAAAATTCCTTATTGGTTCATCTCATTACATTCATGCCAATCAGCAATTAGACTCTCCTCCTCCAGAGCCCTTGAGGATGTTTTGACTTCATTTTCATGCATTAAAACAGTTTAAATTGATTTTATTTCTGCTGCTTGTCACGTATGGCTGTTTGCTGAGGAATTAATCCAGCTTCCTGGGACCACAATGATCAGAAATGTGTTGGTTTTTTTTTATTCTTTCACAGTTTAAGTCAGATCTACTCAAAGATATTTCCAGACCCACGTACAACATTTGCTCAGAATGTGTCAGAGGAAGGAAAGGACTTTTACTGAATGAATCGACTACTCACCCATCAAAAAGGTTGCAGGACTGAACGCAGGTACGGCCTCGCTTGAAATATCGGCAAGAGAGGCACTGGTCTGGCCCTGGTCCCCAACAGCCATCGTCCGAACACATTCGGTCACACACCATTCGTTGTTGGACTGTGAGGAGAATGTTCAAATGGTCAAAATAGTATAATTTTCTTTTAAAGACAACAGGGAGGATGTTTGGTGTCAACACATTAAACAAGTGTTGGGGTACGATCACCTGTTAAGTGTGTATGTGGCTAATATCCAGCTTATATCTTTGATGATCCTTGGTCTGGCTATCAGCTATCAATTATATATCAGTTATATATTGTGGTTACGTAACACCTCGAAATGTCTGTGTCTTGGGATACGGCACAGTACGATCAGATACAGGCACTATATTTTGTCCTCTTGTACACAAAAATAACTTTAAAATTCTCAAGTTCTACCAAAGTGCTTAACAGTTTTATTAAACATCTCTACACATATCAGTACTAAACAAATTAGGGTCCTGCAGCACAGACCTAGAAACTGGTTGGCAACTGGTTAGCAACCAGTGGACATGAAGGAAAAACATGTATTCCCCAATGATTGTTAAGTAGTTGGTGGCTTTTGCTAGTATTGTTGCAATAAACAGTGAGACTGTGAAAAGTGAAATGCAATTGCAAGAACTGGGTCCTAGGATCACCAATGTTTGGCTTGATAGAAGTGTTGCTCACGTCACTTCCTGTATGGCAACTCTGCCTCCTATTTTGATAGCAGGGACATATGTATACCTGAAGATCATTTGTGTTATTTTTTTAACAACATAAAATTGGTTGTACAGTCCTCTGAACTCGGTTTGTTCCAATAATTGATGCAATTGTCTTCTCAATCTAAAAATTAAGAATGGTGCAAAAGTTACAGACATTAACACATTTTCATCTTTGACCCCTTGGTGGCACAAGATGAAAAAAGTTGGCGAAATGGATCACAAGACTGTCGAAAGTCAGTGTTGATTCTTGGGGAACCCACAGACTTCATTGGCAGAATGTCTTTTCTTTAAGATGTCTATAACATTGCTGCCTGTCCCAAATTATAAGTGTATAAATGTAGCAATGTGTGTATATCTATTCTGTATTCATGCCTAGGAGATAAGTCAGTGCTTGTAAATGGACTGCATTTATATATTTTTTTCTACAGCTATCGGAAGCTCAAACTGCTGTATGTTTCTGCCCACCTGAGTGAGTAAACATTGGTATTCCCCACATCTCTGCCATTAAAGAACACATCCACTATAATTGTAACCCCCCCCCCCCCCCCCCCCCCCCACCCTTTCCTGTTGAACCACAACAATCAATAATGCTCATCACACTCAATCGCTGAGTGACACACATATCCCCGGGAGTGTCGCCTGGTGGGGGCCAAACCCTTTGTCAACAGGAGAACAGTCAATCGTAGACAGTGGGTTGAGCCTAATGAAGAGACCTGTGTAAGGTGCCATCGATCGATCTCTAATACACACACCGTACTCATTAACTGGCTAATGATATGAACCGCAGTGTGGCAGGACCGTGAAAAACTATGGCGGCTTAGTTATCTCCATCTCAGACACAGAAAGCTTTAGTGGCAACCACCTCTAACAAATCCTCACAAATATTATAAATAAGCTCATTACCCTGGGTATTGTGGAATCATATGAGCAATATGTCCCTTTATTTGCCTGTTGTTCATTCCATCACGCCTCCACTTCCCATTGCAAGCATTATACTTAACATACCTTTAAGGCATGACAGTTCCCATGAAATTGGCCAAGTCAGTGTGTAATACTGGGGTAGAGTTAATTAGAGTGCTAATGGTACCATGGCTATGGCTGTCGTTTAGTCTCATTCCTACTGTTTTCCCTTTTCTTGTGCCTCTGGCTGCTGTTTTTTTCTCTCTCTTTTAGTATATTGTGTGGCTGTGGTTAAATCATCCACTTTTTCAGTCACTCCCTCATCCATACATCTATCTTCTGCCTTTTGTCTGGGACTGGCTGAAACCCAAACCTCTCACCCCCCAGCCACCTTCTCCAGTTTATGTGGGGTTTATGCTGGTCAACAGAGAGAGATGTAATCTCTCCAGCATGTCCTTGGTCTACCTCAGGGCCTCCTCGTAGAATGGCATGTAACACCTCACCCAGGAGGCATCCTAGTCAGATGCCCAAACCACCTCAGCTGACTCCTTTTGATGTGGATGAGTAGTAGTGATTTTATTACTGTACACTGATTTTTCATGCATCATAAGGATTTCTTAGAGCACTATATAGTGGATGAAATTTGCATTGCACTTGCACAACGGAGACGCATTCACTCTGACAGACTGCTCAGTTCATCTGTGTAGCATTAAAGAGTAACTTACACTAACTTTTAATGTTATAATGTTAGTGTGTGAATGTGTGTGTGAATGGGTGGATGACTGGATATGTAAAGCGCTTTGGGGTCCTTAGGGACTAGTAAAGCGCTATATAAATACAGGCCATTTACCATTTACCATTTATACTGTTAAAATCCAACCCACACTGAGAGTCAATCACTTTAAACTTCTAAAAGATACTCTAAACGTATCCTGTCTACTTTATTGCAGGTAACTTTCACATGAACTAGTCCAAAAAGCAGATGCTAGCAGCTAACAAAAACTAGCCAGCTAGCACATCACTTTTACCCAATCGGCTTTCATTGCAATTTAAATTTCGCATGGCCTTGTCCTCACATAGAACCGGTGCTCAGAAATTACTCCAGCAATTTATCCATCCAATCATCCTTTTAACTGACCCCTTTGTTATGAAATGTGTGTGTACCAGATGTGGTCATTGCTAACACTGAACACTGACCCAGCCAAGTTTGTCCCTTGTGTTGTTCGGCCTCTTCAGTAGCTCTTTGCTTCCACGTGACTCGGGTCCTTTATCTCATTTGCCACCACCACCCTGTCTCCTGCTGCCACATTTTCTTTTGCCACTCTCAGCTTCATGTCATTTTCCCGTCACCTCTCTCCTGTTTTTCCCAACCTGCCACGCGCTCTGTCCACCTCACCTGGAACCTTCCCTAGTTTTCCTGGCAGCCACAGCCTGTCTGTCACACTCTCTCAAACTTGAACACCAGCCAAACCCAAATTAGCAATAGTCAAAATGCAATAAAACTATAGTTTCTGAGTGGTGCTGCTCACACCCCTCCTGAAACACTCAGTACGATTACGTGGAGGAAAAAACAGGAGAGCAGGAGTTCTTGAAAGGTTTAAAAACTATTCAGAACCCTACTTTGGCATCAAAATTTGAACCATTTTGGATTAATTATGCAGCTAAGACACTGCGTAATGATGCAATATTGCTTAAACTCTGATTCCTCCCTCAGAAGGTGCAGAGGTCTGCAAAAGCTAAAAACTTTAATAGTCTTAACACCACATCTACTCACTGCACTCCTTTGGATCTTGGTTGTTACGGACGAGGACTTTTTGGCTCGGGGTCCTAAATAGCGACGTCCAGTTGATAGTGTTATAGAAGCAGAGGCGGCTGTTGTTGAAGATGTAGACGTTCCCGGCGCTGATCTCACTCAACGACTGGAACTGGAGTGAGGAGATCCAACGCTGCTTCAAGATCAAAAGAGAAATACCACTTCCACTGAAAGAGAAGAGAGAATAGAAAAGGAAATGAGTCATGGCAAAGGGAGAAGGGGTAGAGGGGACGAGTAGGGAGAAGAAAGGAAATCAGAGAGAAATAACAAATTTAAAAGAAATAGTTGGAAGCACACAAGAAGATTTGGAAAGCAATTTTAACAAGATGGAAGAAGAGAAAGTAGGATGAAGGAGTAATTGAGGGTTTAGGAGGGGGGGGGGAAGGAAAGGAAAAGACAAGGTTAGAGGGTGGGATGAAAATATATGATGGAGAGGAACAGTAATGAGGGGAGAAAGGGAAAATGGATTAAGAGTTAAGCTAAGAGTCAGACAAAAGAAGAACAAGAAGTCACGTAAAGCTAGAGAAAAAAAAACTCCTATTAAAAATGTAATGTTAGAAAAAAAAAGAAATACCAGACATAAAGAAACTTTTGCAGATGTAGAAGGTTTCTCCAGCTCGGACTTGTACTCGAGCACTGCTGAGCTACATGTACATCATGGGCATTTACAAAACACGACTGGACCTCCTTTGACTCTGCAGCACTATCTCTCTCGAATCTGTCACTTGCAAGCAAACACAGAACCTGTTATCAAAACAGGGCAAATCAAAGCTGTGTGACAACAGCGCTTCAAAGAGCTTCTGTGAGCAAAAACCTGCCGGTGGCTCACCAGCTCCAACGGCGAGCATCCGAAAAGAGGAAACAGCAGGAAATTAGATGATGCTCTCAGAAAAAAAGACCATAAAATGCTCGAAATGGCCAATTTTGCCAACTTTTCTCTAAAGAATCCAGGAACCAGCTGAGCTAAGTCCTTCTTCTGGCAAATGCAAATCTGTGCATCACTATTTTGAGTAATTTTGCTAACAGACAGCCAGCACAAACCAATCACATAACCTCTTTGGCAAAGATAGAAATACTATAATTTAGCTGCAGGCTTCAAACATGGTTATTTCTGCAGAATTGTGACATCATTTTGCAGCCTACGAGGTCTCTCCTTGACAAGGGCAGCTGATAACACTGGTCTACAATTTTTGAAAAGTTGCATGCATCAAACAGCATATTAGATGCCATAGCAACTCAATTCAAGGTGTATCAAGGTGGGATGTTGTCACATACAGACGTTTCATCAATTATTCGGAATATTCTGACATGCAAATATGTTGATATCGTCCCGGAGTCTTATCATTTTAAGCATCTGTTTCATTTTCAACGATCAGAAAGGAAAGAAAAGTTTGACTACATTTATTTCACAAGCATTTTGTCTATAGACAAGTGTAATATGAACAATCCCTCTGGAGTTAAGTGAGTATAATGGCTTTATTTTAATTTATTTAAATGTATGCTGTATAGCTTTGTGGAATTTATTATTACTCCTCAGTAATGAATGAGCAGAAAGCGGTGATATTGCAGTGTTTCCTCTTTACTGATCTCGCTCAGACGCACGCATTTGCAAACCTGCAACATCCATCCAGTTTTGTTACGTGGGCAAACAGGATATTATAGACATCCTTGTTCTGTCTTAGACATTTTCCAGATGAGATGTAAACATGGGTCTTAAAAGGTGTCTTCCCACCTGGGCTTTGCTGGAAAACCTCTAAGAGCTTTTGTCCAGGATGCATCATGATTGGAAGCCCAAACCCAATACAGTTGGCTCCTTTCAATGCAAAAGAGGAGTGGCCCTACTCCCAGCTCCCTGTGGATGTCTGGGCTCCTCACTCTATTTCTAAGGTACAGCCAACCACCTTACAAAGGAAACTAATTCCAGCATTTAACAGATGTATTCTTTTAGTGACTACCCCAGACCATATGTGAGGGTTGGATATATATTGGCTGGTGATTTGGAAACTGTCTCTCTTCACCACAATAGTCCAGTACAATACCCACGTTACTGCTGACATCCCAACAATCCAACTTTTTACAATCCACCTGCTCCTCTGTTGTGAACAATACTCAGAGATAGTTAAATGCCTTCTTGGGGCAGCTACCGTAGTTTACTCACAGGGAAGCCTTCCAATGGTTAGAGGGAAAGTGTAAGTGCACCCAAATGATTTATCCTGCAATGGTCCAATTTTGGCAGCGTGGTATCGCGTCAGGTCATAGCAAGAAGGTCCTGCCTTCAAATTCTGGTTACACTGGCTGTAGGTTTAACTGTGAACAGGACTGGCTATCTGTCTTTATGTGTTAGCCCTGTAACAGCCTGGCAATCTGGTGAATCTAGTCTCTCGGCCCTGAAATGGATAAGTGGAAGAAAATCCATGGATGGACAGAAGAAAGTTAGTGTGGGCATGCCTGCAAACATACCTGTAAAGAGCTCTGCCTCCAATGGTAGCCAGGCTGGAAAAAACACTAAGATCTGTCATGTTTTCAGGCCAGGATTGGATGTTGAGGTAACCTAAAGAAGACATGTCAGGCAAAGTGGTTGAACATGTGCTAATTAGTATGTGGCGGTATTTGATGAAGGAGCACAAAAATAATGAGCAACGGATAAAAACCCTTCTGTTGCCTACATCCAAAGTTTCAGATCACGGAGCTGCTCTGAAGTTCAAGCAAGAAACCCTTTTCTTTGTAGGAAATGCACTTGCAGAAGACAATATTTAATATTTAATATTGCTAATTAAAAGAATGGATTTAATATTCTGCACAATTTGTCTGGTTGCCTTTAATGACAGATTATATCAAATCAGCATCTGTGGAAATGACATTAAAAGGGATAGGAGCAGGAAATGGCTGGGATAGAATGGCCATTGCTCTTTCTTATTGCTTAGGTTTTCATTATGAAAATGCAGTTTCACTCCATTAGCTGTTTGGCTCAACTGCAAGTCGCGGTTTAATATGACAAAAGGGTTTGTATACGAGGTATTGCTCATCCCTTAAGGCCTCTAATAGCTAATGAATAAGTACACACACAAGGATGCACACAGCAGCAGCAGCACACAGTGAAAGAACGTATAACTATGGAGATATTGCACACACACAATAACATTATATGCACCAGAGCTCCTTTTTGAGCTTACTGGCAAAAATCTGCTGTCCTCTTAAAGCTTTCTTTCACTACTTTAGAGGCCAAATAATTCACACGGCCGCATGCACAAACACACCCTGTAATTCTTCTTGTATTCAGTGTTTCCAAGTGAGGCCGTCTTACCTGTGATCTCTTTCACGGTGCGGAACACGTTGAGGCGCTCAGGGTCCAAAGGCCCAATACCGTGATACATATCCCTGAAGAGAAGTATAAAGCATAATAAGTCTATGTTGCTAAAGCAAGGCTTTATAAATGAACGTTTCATTAAGGTTTTTAAGCCAACTAAAGCCGATAGCCAAATTATGATTTATAATCATTCTGTCCTCAGGATGCTGTTAAGAGTATCTGACAAGGTAAGAGCGCTCCCTGACCTTCACTGCTCTCTTTTTTCTCCATGTGCAGTGGTTTTGTGTGTAAAGTTTTCATCCATGTAGTGAAGCCTATGTTGTCCTTCAGTAAAACTGCACATATTGCTGCTCCTACATAGTACCCCAACAGTGGGTTTATTAACTATGCATAACTAGAATGTGGTCACTTGTAGGGATCGACTTGAAGGCAAAAGTACAGTATGTCTGTACAGAGTCTCAGTCACTCAGTATGATGAGCTAAAGTTCAAGTTCAAGTGGCTTTTATAGTCATTTCAACCATGTACAGTGGCACAGTACAGAGTGAAATGAGACAGCGTTCCTCTGAGACCCTGGTGCTACATATGACATATAACGTGCGGAGGGCGGTGAAAGAGGCGAAGCAGCGCTACGGGAGGAAACTAGAGTCACAACTCCAACAGAGTGACTCTAGGAGCCTGTGGCGGGGACTAAGGACAATAACGGACTATAAAGCACCAACAACTGGTATGACGAACGCGGCCGTGACTCTGGCAGACGAGCTGAACACTTTCTATGCTCGCTTCGAGGCTGCAGCTAAGGTCTCCAACAATGCTAGTGTTAGCGGCGCTAACGGCTGCAGACAGGAAGATACTGCCAGCACCGGAAACGTGCTCGTCATCTCCGAGCATGAAGTAAGGAGAGCCTTCAAGAGAGTGAACACCAGGAAAGCAGCAGGACCAGACGGCATCCCAGGTCGTATCCTAAGAGACTGCGCATACCAGCTAGCTCCTGTGTTCACTGAGATATTCAACATCTCTTTATCTCAGTCGGTGATCCCCACATGCTTCAAAGAGTCCATCATTGTTCCTGTCCCGAAGAAACCCCACCCTGCTTCTCTCAATGACTATCGCCCTGTAGCCCTCACCTCAGTAGTGATGAAGTGTTTTGAACGCCTGGTCAGAGACTTCATCATTTCTTCACTACCAGACACACTGGACCCACTACAGTTCGCTTACCGTCCAAATCGTTCCACAGACGATGCCATCTCTCATCTCCTCCACACATCACTCACTCACTTGGACACTAGAAGGGGGAATTATGTTAAAATGCTCTTCATAGACTACAGCTCTGCATTTAACACCATAATTCCCTCCACACTCACCACCAAGCTGGAGCATCTGGGACTCAGCTCATCTATGTGTCAGTGGATCTCCAACTTCCTAACTGGCAGACCACAGGCAGTAAGGATGGGCGGACATGTCTCAGCCTCCACCACTCTCAGCACTGGAGCCCCCCAGGGGTGTGTTCTGAGCCCCCTGCTGTACTCTTTGTACACATATGACTGTGTGGCCACTACCAGCTCCACCACCATCATCAAGTTTGCTGACGACACCGTCGTGGTGGGCCTGATCTCTGATAACAACGAGACGGCCTACCTGAAGGAGATTAGGAATCTGGAGAACTGGTGCCAGAGGAACAACCTCCTTCTAAACGTCAGTAAGACAAAGGAGCTGATAGTGGACTTCAGCACTAAGCAGGAGAGGAACTACCAGACCCCCGTCATCAACGAGTGCCCAGTGGAGAGAGTGGACAGCTTCAAATACCTCGGAGTTCACATCACGCAGGACCTGTCATGGTCCTGTCACATCAACACCGTGGTGAAAAAGGCCCGACAGCATCTCTACCACCTCAGACGCTTGAGAGACTTCCAACTGCCCTCCAAGGTGCTCAGGAACTTTTACTTGTGCACCATAGAGAGCATCCTGATGGGAAAAATCTTAACCTGGTTCGGGAACAGCACCATGCAGGACAGACAAGCTCTACAGAGGGTTGTGCGGTCAGCTGAGCGCACCATCCGCTCCGAGCTCCCTGACCTGCACTCAATCTACAGCAGGCGGTGCCGGACCAAGGCCAGGAAGATCGTGAAGGACCTCAGCCATCCCAACAACAGACTGTTCTCTCTGCTGAGGTCAGGAAAGCGATTCCGCTCCCTGAAGACCAACACAGAGAGACTGAGGAGGAGCTTCTTCCCGCAGGCGATATGGTCTCTCAATCACACCACCACACAGTACTGACCCACACATATAGTTCTTACACACACACTGGACTTTCTGGACTTTGTTTTTGCACAACACTGGTCACTATATTCTTCATTTCCGGTTAATACTTGTACAGCTGCTGTTATTGTGTATATATTTATTTATATTTAGATTTCTTCATACATTCTTATATAGTTCTATATTGTGTATTTTGTTGTACAGTTATTTTATTTTCAACTTTAATTTATATATGTTATCTTATTCTCCCAGTTAAATTTACCCTTCATTCTAATTTGTGTTGTACAGTTATTTCATTTTTAACCTTAATTTATATTTTATTCCTTCCTAGTTAAATTTACCCTTTTTATTTTTTCATATTTATTTCCTATCTTATTCATAGCCTTTTCCTTTTTTGTTTTCTTTAGGTCACGAGCAGTTGTCCAAGCATTTCACTACATATCGTACTGTGTATGACTGTGTACGTGACAAATAAAATTTGAATTTGAATTTGAATTTGAATTTGAACGGACAAACACAGGCCTACGAAAAGTGCAATATATAAAAACAGCAAAAATGAACAAGACAAGACAGTGCAACAATAGACAGAACAGGACGATACAGTGCAATGGAGATGTGTGTGTGTCTGCGTGTGTGTATATGAGTGTGAGATAAAGTGCTTGAGTCCAAGACAACTGGACTTCTTTTAGGCTCTTGAAGACATTTCAACTCTTGTCCATTCTTTTTCAGCTAATAACGCTTAACACGTGAAGTAAAATGTCTTCAAGAATCCCTAGTTGCCTTCAGCTCAAGCGCTTTAAAGCATCTATATGACTCGTCAGTAGACCAAACTGTGTACTAGACACCATCTTCACCGCACCCAATTTAAGAACCCAATGGGTATTGGGGCCGGCCGTGGTTCAGAAGGTGGAGCAGGTCATCTGCTAAAAACCTTGACTCTTCCAACCTGTATTTCAGAGCAAGACACTGAATCCCCAATACATCGAAAGGAGTATGAGCAAGTGAATGCTAGGTCAAAAGTGCGTAGGCATGGAAAAAAAGCACTTGCATGAACTTGTGTGGCTGGGTGAATGATGCTTATTGAAAGTGCTCTGAGTGGAAAAGCACTATATAAGTATCAGTCCAACCCATTCCATCACCAAGGTCATCAGTGGGGACAATGGGGATGCCAGAAGACATCTGGATCCAAACTTCTTGTTCTGTATGGCAGTTACTTTTTTGCCAAAGCAGATGAATTTCCCAGAAAAGAAAAACTGATTATCAAACCTCAGTAATTCAAAGAATGTACAGTTTGACACCTTCTAGTTTTAAAAAAAATCATAGAAAAAAACCATAGACAGATAAAATTTGTTTGTGCATGTTAATCTAGAAGTTCTGAAATTGTATGACACATAAAAAAGTAAAAACAAATCTTTTTTTTGTGTGTGCTCCATCAAATATGCTTAACAAAAACTTGTGTGAAATCACTGAGTGTGAGTGGCACTCACCCTTTAATGCCAGTAATGAGAAAGATGAGGTTGCCATTGATTTTGGTGCAGTTGACAAATTTATCAATATTGCTGGCGTCCACTGTTTGAGCTGACTGCAGGCTTCCTGTTCCTATACCGTCACACACTGAAACAACAAACATCGAAACACACAATTAGTTAAAAATACTACTTAAATGACCATTTTAGCTGCTTTAGCAATGAAGAATTTACCTACTTTAATGCATATCTGAAGTCCCTGTATATTGCAAAGGCCTAATTTTGAGAAATGACCACTGGCCATTTGTCACTGTAATGTTTCATACTCTTTTATGAAAATATGGTCCTGCTTTTGGGTGTGCATGAAAGGCCATGGCCCCTCTCCATGCATTGGAATTCCTTTGATGAAAGCATGGGCCAATCCACAGCCAATTCCTCCCTATAATGAATTCATTACATCTGCATTAATTAGACTTGCGGTCTAGTGTGAGCCAAGTATTTCTGACAGAGGCGGAGGGGATGATGAATAAGGCTGGCATTAAGTGGTGTAACCAGTTTTTGATAGTGATTTATACCAGCCAACGCGATATCTGAAATGTTAATTTGTTATCATTTCCCACAGTTCTTTGGGCTATCCCTCATTAACCCCTCCCTGCTATGTGACGATGTAATCAAGGGATTAGCCAATCAATGGATGCCACAGCCCATACATGGAACCTGAAGAAAAACACTGTTGCCTTGCCTCCGTAAGAGAGAGGTCAGATCAGTTACCTTTGTGAGAACAATGTGATGACGGGGCTAATCCTCTGTATTGAACTGAAGTAATGCTGTTTAATTTCACATTAGCCATTTTAGGCATTTAGCAGACGGTCTTCCAGCAAAATGACTTGTAATTACTGAGCAGGTAGGAGCAGTTTCTCATTATGAGACTATTTTGTGTCAATTACCATGTCGACTGTTGTAGGGATCAAACACGTGACCTTCATTTATGCCATATTTAACTTCCAACAGGATGTAATGAGTATGCACTGGATACACATTGCAGTGATAAGAGAAAATGAGTGTCATGTAGCCAAAGCCCCTTTAATGAAATGCGCAGAGATTAATTTTGCGTTAGGACCTAACTATTAATGTTTGAAATCAACAATATGGAAGGTTTAGAGAAGACTTCATTAATAAAATGAGATAAAGTTTACTGCATTGCTGAGAATGTTACAGATGTGAGCACTGCACGGCGTGGCTCATACAGGAAAGAAGATGTTGATTTTGGAAGGGTCGCTGTAATCAATATCTGAGCTGTAAGTACATTCACGGTAACATAAAAAAAGCTAAGCTGCCTCCCGTGAAAATAAATTACATTTCTTATATAAAGGTTTTTAAGTGATTCCTCTGGGCTCGTGTCGATTTGGTATCATCACTGTTAGCATAAAGCTATTAGATTAAAATGTTTTAACTGCATAAGCTCTTGTACATACAGTAAATGCAGTGCAGTGAGCCTGGTAGCCGTAGAAGCAGGGGGAAAAATGAGAATCAAACTGGATTATCACTTCACTTTGTTTGATTTGCACATTATACCTGTACATTATTGTTATGCTATCATAATAAATAGATAAAAATCTGCTCATTTTCATGGTTTATCCATTCAACAGCACAAATTTGACAGCCTAAACCAAAACTACCCAGGCCAATGGGCAACAAAACACCCCAGGGTGACTTATGAGTTACTCCAAGTGTCAATTAATATGAAACCATGAGAAACCATGAGACAGAAATATACCTTGGCCACACTTTTCAAACATCCATCTTAGGTCTCAGTCACACAGGCTTAGAGACCAGTTGGTGCACTCCTTGATGGCTTGGTGTGTGGTTGTTGGAGGGTGCGAAACCAAAGTCCTCCTTGGGATCGCCTTTGTTGAAAGCAGATTGCTGCAGTTGACCATAGTTTGCATGGAAGTTGCAGCATTATATATAAAAACTGTCCAACTGCTGTCCAAGCATGAGCAAAACGAGATCCCCACAAGTAAATGGAAACCCTCTGAGGTCACAGTAAAAGTTGTGTTTCCCTGCTGCCATCAACACATTGCTAAAGCCACAACTTTTACTTTGAAGACAAATGTTCTCATTTTCTGGTTTGGATCAGTTTTCATAGTTTCACTGCTGCTGAGAGAGTAGTTGGTGAGTGTTTGCAGACAAGTTTGCATCTTCCATTGAAACTATGAGCAATCGCAGCATTTTGCTAGTGGTTTTCAGTGTGGTTGCATCACTGACTGGTCTCTATGGCTTCATGATTGGGACATTAGCAATCAGTTTCATAGCAACTGCCAATCTCAAGCAACTACTTGATTGGGGAATTTTTCCCTTGGGATAGAAATATGGTTATTATTTTTTTACTTCTGGCGACTGATTGGGGGAACAGTTGACAAATCATAGACCTGAACCTATTACAGAATAAGCTTTTGAGCAATTAACTGTGGTCGCTTTGCACAACAAAAGCTGAAAAATCTTGCATTACAAGTGCATAGAGAATTTATGACGAACAGCTGCTCTAGCTTCTGTTTTGACTGAAAATGACTGTGTAGGTCAGATCTTGCTCTGTCATTATTTACTCTATGGTCCCTCTTGTGTTTCTCCATACAGGAAATTAAAGATATTCTTGCTGAAATCACCTGGTTTATCCACAGATTTGTATATGCTTTATACCTATAACTTTAGAATTGCAGCTTTTGCTACCTTGTTTTTTTAGAGCCAGAGGGTGGTTTGCTAAGCTATAAGCTAATGTTAGCACTTTTGTCTCCAAAAGGCAATGCAAATTGTTTTGTAACTTTCCTGTTTATGTATTTCCTTTAGGTTTAAGTTTCATTTTGTTTAATTAGTAACTTCCCTGCTAGGTGTATGCTAGGCTTCTACTTCAGTAGTTTGACTCACAGAACTGGTCCACCGTGTTTAACAGGCATGAAACACTTTAATATGACATTCAGCACAAGTTGACTGAAGGAACTATATATTTCGCACTTTATTTTCAGAAATCGCTGCTTGGGTTTACCTTTTGGACAGATGTCTGTGCAAGGGATGCACATTTTAATCCGGTTCTCCTCCACTTCCATCTTGTTGCTGGGACATGCTCTCACACAGGAGCTGTGGTCCACGACAAAGTTATCTGATAGAAAAAGCAGCAAAAATCTGAATTAGAGGACTTCACCAGTCTTTTAGCATACCGCATACAACCCCCTACAGTAAATTTGAAATATAATACTATAAAAATCAAAGCACATTCCTGGAAGGACCCCTCTAATTGTATGAAACTGATTGTATTTTAATCACATTTGTGTAATGATCAAAACTAATGGTCTATATCAGTGAGAAACAGTAATGAATTAGCTAAGTACTTGGTTGCAGAAACAGGAAAGCCATACTGTGGTATGATCATCTGATGATCAGTAGAAGTCGAACATGCAGTCTCTTCATGTCACTCAAATTTTAATGCACGTTCGCTGAAATATTTCACTATTAATGACAGAACGAGCTAAGCTTTTTCAGCTGCCAGAAGCTGAAGCAGATGGCATAGCAACTAGCTGATTGAGATACACACTTTATTTATGTTTGATTTATGTTTGAGTAATCTATCTTGACTTGAAATAATTGCCTGGGGTCCAATTTCAGGATTGACAGGGGATAAATGACTCATCAACAGACGCCAGCACAGATTCTAAAAAACAAAAAACAAAGACTTATTTACGAGCGTTATTATCAGCATCTATGTTATTGCGGCGTAGCGTTGTGTAATGGCACACACACCAGATCATTTTGCAGCTGCTTGGATGTCCACTGCGTTCGCTGAGAACTAGGTGCAGACTTACGTGGACATTTCTTGACACAGAAGGCTCCATAGGTGTACTTCGCCCTGGGGTTGTGCTCTAACTGGAAGGACGTCGGGTTGTACACAAAGGGCTGAGGGCACTGGGTCACGCAGGCCCCGCTGTCGTTGAAATTGGTGCAAGCCTGCAGAGGGAATACAACTGCAGTGAGCTAGGTTGAAGGCAAATGGGGAGGGCTGTGATTTTCCTGCATAAGTCACCATGAGCGAAAGAGTATTACAGCAGCATTTCATTTTTACGTGGGATTGCGACATGCGAATCATGCGGCCCTCCTTTGTCTCTTTGAACGCCAAATGGGAGAAAAATTGGAGCCATTGATCCACAGCCATGATGTAAATGGTGAAATGTTTTCCCATAAACCTCTTAAGTGATTTGTCGTCTGTGGCCACAGGCGGAAACAGCAGTAATTGAATTGGATGAGCCTTTCTGTGAATTACAACTACAATATCATCCCTGTCAGCATGTGCAGGGAAGTCATGCACCAGTTTGAGGAAAAAGGTAGAACTTGAGGTGATAAAAGGGATATTAATTATGACACAGAATCCCCAATTTGTCCTTTAAAGAGCGCCGCTGTGGAAGATGTTTACAGCACCATAAAATGACAAACAATTTATCAGCAGGTAAACAAAGTGGATCATTTTCGGGCGGGGAGGATGGCAAACAGATGTTGGACAAAAGATGTGGAATGGGAAGAAGGATGAGTGTAGATAGGATGATTTTCTTTCTTTCTTTTTTGGTCACTGTACGTGTGTGTTGAAGGCAGAAATAAAAGAAGTAAAGAGAGTTAAAGAGTGAGAAAGTGTGTGTGTGTGTGTGTGTGTGTGTGTGTGTGTGTGTGTGTGTGTGTGTGTGTGTGTGTGACGTACAAAGCAGTCCGTGTCCTTGGGGCCGGAGCAGCCGCCGGCGCATTCGCGATGGCAGCAGTCGCTGACGTAAGGCCCGAAGCATCGACCGTCACACTGCTCTGCACACACCGTTTTTGTCACTGCAACGGAAGTGGAAAGACTGAATTTTAAAGGTCTGGCACACACACACACAGACACGCACACACATCTACATACATTCACACTCATAAAGAGAGACAATACCACCACACTCAACCTTCCTCTCTAGTCACAACTGCTCACAGTCGCATGTAGGCAGGAAGAAATTTGGGGCTTCAGCAACCTAAAGGTCAGCCAAGTTGGTTTGCGACCACAGAGTCACTGCCTAGAAAGCACAGACGTACTTTAAAAACATGAAGCACTGTCTTCTGTCTCAAGAACCTCCTTGGAAACCCTTGAAGAGGACTCTTCTCCTCTAACTGCTCTGAAGCTTCAGCTCAGAGACCGAACAGCTGAAAATAGTGTTTGACAGCATCCAGGAATGAATCTAAGGGGGAGCTTTGCTTGTGGAAACCCAGTTGGTTTTCCCTAGATACATAAAGTTTGGAAAAAATTAACTGAATCTCACAGATTCGCCATATCAGTGTTTATACAATGGGTGCTTTCAGCCAAGCGAGTCAATTGGCCAAAGACGCTGTCCAACTGTTCTGATTCCCAGAAAGCCTGGCTTTACTCGCTGATATGCCAACTTTTGCAGTAACCAGGGAAATATTTACTGCCATTCCAGTTTCTTCTCTGTATTTTATTTCAACTAGTTTAACGGGAGCTGTGTAAGTATCATTAGTAATGTGTGGCTTGTCCCCATTTCATCAGCCAACATTTCTGATAAAGGACAGTCTCCCACACTGTATTGATAAAGAAGGATATAAACCAGCCAGAGAGTCAGCAGGAGCTTGAAGCCCAGGCATTAAAAACTGCTGTGCTCACTCTGTGCTGAGTTGCGAACTTAATGATGCAGTAGTGAAAAAAAAAAACCAAGCCTCTGTAATCTATTAGTCTGTTAGTTTAAGAAAAACAAGCCAGAGCCTCTGTAAGTCTTTCCATGAGGGGAACATCCTGTAATTATATGAACGACAAACATTTCTCTAGTTAAACTCCTTCCTTTGGTATCTCATTTTTTTCCTTTTATTTGTTATGTGCCAAGTATTGCTACACGGTGATGAACAGTTATTTCCTACCTATAATTAATAATACATTTTCTAGATATTGGCTATAAGCTTGGTGTCCAACTTTAATAAAAATGAGAAGAAAAAGAAAAAAATAGGATAGTCCTCATGAAGCTTAAAAAGCAAATCTATCCCAAAGCAGATTACTGGAGATTACAGATTATTTTAAAGCAGATTTTACAGTATCATTAATTTTCTCCTGCCAGTCAGTAAAAACAAGGGGTCACTTGGCCTTAAACTAATAAGTGATTTAAAAGAATTTCATTAGCCTACTTCTCAGTATTTATGTTGAGTTCTGCTATTGCACTTTGCATAAATAGATTTTGAAAAACTTTTTCAGTTGTAAAATGAATTATTGTTTGTGTGGGTTGTACTTTTTTTTTCTTTTTAAATGAAATGACTTATGCTAGGCAAATGAGTCGTAGGTTGGTTAGCATAGCTTACTGGCATAACACTAGACTGTCTATATCTGAAGTGAAAAGAATATCCTGGTTGTTCCTAGCTTAGCCCTGCAAAATCAGAGAGAAATAATGTCTTCAAACAACATTTCATAACTGTAAGATTAAGAACATCGATATTAGGCCCCAAGCCTTTGCATTGCAGGGTAAGGTTAGCCTAGCTTAGCCAATAAACTGCTAGATTTCACAGTCTAAATTTTCACTAAAATGAACATAACACATTTAAACTTCACAAACTGACCTTTTCACACTTCCACAAATCTAATGATATACTTTATATGTGTTTGAATGCATTGGATCTAGAACACTACTAGCCTGTCTTAGGAAATAACTAGCTTGGTTTTGTCCAAATTGCCAAAAATACATATAGGCACATCTAAAACACCATTACCATGATGAAACTTGGTTCATTAAAGGGCTCAGTTAACATCTAAAATGTTCAAGTTCATAAGAGTACAACTAGAAAAAGACTTGTTTGGAAGCATTTTCAGGAGAAAGCCTCTGCTTTCTAAAAACAACAACAACATAGCAGTAAAGCTAAGTGCAAAGTTGCAAGTGAACAAACTACAAGACTTCTGGAACAATGTCCTTCGCACAGACGATAGCAAAATGGAGATGTTTGGTCATGACACACAAAACCAAATATAGCATATCAGCACAAACACATATCAGCTGATTGATGGTGGGGTGATGATTTAGGCTTATTTTGCAGCCACAGGACCTGGGCACCTTAAAGTCATTGAATCCACCATGTACTACCAAAGTACTCTTGCGTCAAATGTGAGTCCAACAACTTAAATTTACTTCAAACTGGCTCATATAATGGGAGAATGACCCAAAGCAAAGCAGCAAATTTACAACAGAATGGCTGAAAAAGATAAAAACTAAGGTGCTGCAACGGCCCCGTGAACTGAACTGAAGCAACATTGTAGAGAAGAGTGGGTCACAATTCATCCAAAATGATGAGACTGATAAAGTCATAGAGAAAAGTATTACTTCAAGTTACTGCAGCTAAAGGTGGTTCTGCGAGCTCCTGAATCATGAGATGTACCCCAGAGGGCCACGTAATGTGAAAACGTTCTTTTTCACATGACTGTCTCTCTCTGTGCATAGCTATTTGACACCACTCTTAACTTCAATACATGTAGCACTGGTCCACAGTGTTACCTTTACAATAAAGGGTGTAGCTTTGGAGTTGTGTTATCAGAATGGGATTTATAACTTGGCACCATAGACAAATGGAAAATTGAGCTTTCAATATAAGTAATTATTGTGAAAAGGTTTTCCAGCCCAAAGGATGATGTTTGTCTAACCAGCAAGTTCAGGGATTGTTGGCCAAGTTGATCCACCCCTTATTTGCAGGGTAAAAGTCTTCTGATTGACATTAAACTACCCAACACCTAATGTGGACTTTAGTTGGCCTTATCCGCAAAGAAGTAAAGCTACACATGCATGTGATATCAGTAAAGGGCAATAGGAAAGAATTTTTAATTTTATACTGGGAAAGCAATACATTACATCACGTGTGAATCAGCGTTTTGAGGTGGGACTGCGATAGTGCACTCACAAGTTTGACACTGGTCCTCCTGATGGCCCCAGCAGCGTCCGTTGCATGAGCGATGACAGCGTCTGCCTGCAAAAGACACCGTACATCAGAGAACTCTCTGCAAACTTTAGACGTAGTTTTGACACAAACACACATTAAAGACACTGCCCCCACACACATCAAACACCTAATCGTTCGCTCGTGCATGCCCTTAAAACTGCTTGACTAATGACAGTGACAGAACTGTCGAATCTCCTCCGCTCATCCAACAATAGATTTCAAGTCACTGGCGACTCATGGCCTGTGAGAAACATGAGCATGAAAGACAGGCTTCTTCTCCCTTCCGTCAAGAGCTAGCAGGCAAAGTGGGACCTGACAGAGCATTCACAGCCTTCATCTCCCTGTGGCCCATCATCAAGACTTAATTGACTATGGGTTAATTACAGAGTAAGTGGAATAGTGAGGCAGATTGTCACCCGGCCCCTTCAACCACTCCCACTGTGGGGTTGTTAATGTTAAATACTAACTACAACTTGGCAAAGGGCCTCAATTTGGCAACCTCCACTCCCACAAACTCTCTTGTCATTTTTGGCCCACCTCCTCTGTTCTTTGTTTCTTTTCATCCCCTTCCTCCTACATCAGTGGCATCTCATCAATAAAATAGCAACGTTTCACGCACATTGTACTTGTACAGTGTCTTCCCCAACCTTTATTGTCTAGAAACAGGCTTTGCATGATGTCCTGATCCCTGCTCATGCTAGTCAGATTGTATTCTGTTCATTCTGCAAAGTGTAAAAAAAAGGTCATAACGCCTTTTCATTTGCCCCATTGTCTATGTCTTTGCTACCACTCGGTGCCACAGCTGTCCCCATTGTTCACCCTGACACGTTTTGATACAGAGACCCTGAAGAAACTGCTTTCCATCCCTCAAAATGAGCAAAAGGCTTGTCCATAAATGCGCAGAAAAGTTTGAAAGAGTTGTCTTTAGCAGCCAGTTCCTCTGACAGAATGTCCGCCGGATACTGACGCCTGTTATGGCCAAAGCAGAGGGAGCTGAGGGACAGCCGGGACCACAAAGGGGGTGAGGCGGTTGGGTAACAAGGGAAGTGGGCAGCTTCAAACCAGCTGTCAGATTCACTGAGATTTAAAAAGACCACAGCAGACAGCAGCTCCATGGGCCTTGCTGCAAAGTCGTTAACATACCACTACAATAGAAAGGTTCACGCGCTGATCTAACACTATGTGATTTTGCTTCCAAATGACCGCCAGGCAAACAGAATGAGGATAGGGCGTGATTGCTGCTGGATGTGTGTGTGTGTGTTTCTACAGTATGTTGGAATGTGCCACTTTAACATTTCACTGACGATACTTTAAAGGGCACCTATTACATTCATATCTTGCTCCACATTTTTATTCTTGGACTCTAGTAGAGAAGCTTTGCATGATTCACAGTTAAAATGAACCTTAGGTATCTTATACTGGGCCTTAGTGCAACTGCCTGTTAGTTCATTTACTGCTTGAAACAGTCCTATTTCATTCCTTTAACTTTTCCTTAAGCCAGCTTTCTTATAATTGGCTGCCCCATGCAAACAGAAGGTTTGAACAGCTGTGGATGTGGTTTCAGTGCCAGAGATGAAGTATTTCTGTCATATTAAACCTGTATATGACGTATATACAGTTGTGATCAGAAGGTTACATCCACTCATCATGGGCATGAATGTCATGGTAATTTTGTTTTATTTCCAGGGTGGAATGACACATATTTAATGACTGTATGATTTTGGAAACTGCAGTTGTTTAGAAATGGCGGGTAGAGACCTTCCAAAGCTGTGAAAATCTCCTATTATTCTTATTAGAGCTTCACTGAATTCATTGGACTTTCCCATTGCTTTGAATAGTGTTTAACCCCATTAGTGCTGTCAAACAAACCTTTTTTATGCTGGCAAAGAGAAACTACCAGTTGTAGTCTATCATGATCACTAATGAGAAGTTTACAGGGCTTGGTATTGTTGAGTTAAAAGACATTATTGAACTTTCAACACCAAACTTTTAAAAGATTTAAGTATATATTTGAGTCTGTATGTATACTTTTGGCTATGTGGATTAATAGCTTCTTGCCGGTTTGTTCCGAAACCTCCATCCTTCATTCATCCATCTTCTTCTATTTATCCACTTCAGGTCTACCGGGGTGCTTTTAGCCTATAAAATCCCATTTACCTCTTCTTTAAAACAAGAACTTAAGTGTTCATTGCTTGGGGGCATCACCAGTGACTTAGAGGTCAGAAGGTTAATCTAATCAAAAACTACTGGTTCTACCGGTTTGCACCCTCACTCTGTACTCACATCCATTGTTGCTGTTGTTGGACGGCACCACCAGCAGCTCAGCTTGGGGGTTCTTGATAATGTCACGCCAATGGATGGTGTCTGCGTGACACAGGAATTTGTTCTGGTCAACATAAACGCCCCCATTCAGTATCTCTGCACAAGGAAAAACAGAAAGGAGAGAGAAAGAGACAAATGAGCACATAGCCGTGGATATAGAGTACATGTGCACGATGGCAGAAAATCAATACTTCAAGGTTAACTCTTCTCTTTGTCTCAAAGTACCACGCTGCATATGCTGTTCCCTGAAGCGCATCTGAGCATGACGATAAATGCTATTGACAAATGCACACAGATATTCTATGCCAAGTCCAAAGATATTTGTATAGAAAGTACCTCATAAAAATAAGCAAATGGATTTTAAAGAAACTCCTACTATACGCCAGTCTGATTTCCTAATTATGCGCTGAGTATTATTAAGTAATTTCATTTATCTTCAGAGTTAATGAGTTTGAATGTCACAGGCAGACATGATACTTGTTGTGTTAATTAAAACTGGAGCAGAGAAAGCGCATAGCTTCGGAGTTTAGATGCACTTAAATCTTGAAACTTTTTTCTTTTTATTGTTGAATTATTAACTTCAAGACTCCTAAGCGGCCCAAACAATCAAACTGTCTCATAGAAAATAACTGGAGCTTTTCGTGACCTACTCCACAGTGAGAGCCAACACACCAAAGACAAAGGCAGGCACTTCAACCAGCATTTGCTTAATAGCAAAAATATGTTTCCTTTCAAGGACCAGTGCCCTTAACAGATGCCTGGGCATGGATAGTGATAATATATTCTAATCCCTCTCCCTGTTACTAATCCAGGTTTTGGATATAGAGACTGAATGAAATGATGCTGCAGTAATCCCCCCCTCCTGAGTTGTGACCCAAAGCAGAAGGGAAAAAACAGCCCCCATCTGTGTTTCTTTCTCTCTGGGATACCAGCAGACTATATAATTTAACCTATTTGGGGGATTTAGATACAATCATCTTGCATCTCCTTCTCCTTGAATATGATTCCATGAAAGTACTTGTCAAAATAAATGAAATTTAATAATGAAAAAAGAAGCAACAATGTGCTTCAGATTAGGGCTGGATTAGCTGAAGGTAAAGAAGGGCATTGTCTCTCCAGGCAGATTATTAACGGCGTGCGCTTATGATTCGACTGCTGAGAAGCACACACACACACACACACACACACACACACACACACACACACACACACACACACACACACACACACACACACACACACACACACAGGAAGCTAATCATTACCATCCGACACCCTGATTAAAGAAGTGGGCCTTGGTGGAGACGGGGACATTTATTCAAAGCTCTCTTAGAGGTGACATGGCGCTCTGTCTGCCTGCTGAATGGCCTACAGCCGCAGCTTCATGTAATCATGTTCCCGTCACAATGGACGATTTATCTGGGCGTGTTTAACATTCATGGATGGCGGCTGGAGAGAAAAAAAAAAGGAAGAAGAAGCTTGTACAAATAGCACATGGACTGCACCATCAGCATGCTTTGATAGCATTCAAAAATAGCTGTGAAATGAACGGCCATCCGTTACCGAACCCCGATTAATTATTTTTCAGACGGCAGATGTGTCCATATGTGCATTTCGTGTTTTCCCTTAAGTCTCCTTCATGTGATAGAGGGCTTTGTTGTTGAGCCGCTTCACGCCTCTAAAGATCCTTGAACAAACAACCCATTAGTTCAGACATACTGTGCACATAGACAAGGTCATCAGGGAGCACGTAACAGGTCAAGATTATAGGTTTTACACACACACAGGCTCATCGGACATTTGCTTGTGTCAGGCATCTTTCCACCACGACTGGGTGAGGGCCCTACTTTGCTTGAAAATGACCTCTTTTTACAACTGGCTAGAAGTGAGCATCCCTCGCTGGATTGTTACGTGTCTTGCCTATGAGATAAAAACACTGTAAAGCCTTGAAGTTTCTGAAGGATGTTTTAGTTTATGTCAAACTACAGACTCAGCAGATGTTGCCTCTCATATTTTGCAGCTGCAAGTGAGGATTTATAATGGTGTGCTATGCTAGGGTAACACCTTGAAAAGCTTTTGAAGGCTTTTTTGTCCAGTAACTGAAAAAAGACATAGTATTGGTTCGGCATTGTAAATAAAGGCCGACACACTAAAAAGCAGGTTTTGTGCAGTGTGTTTGACAGGCACATAAAGCACTCTTAATGCTGTGTAAATGTTGTGAAGCACAAACAAGCAAGGTTCAGCTAATTTTCCTTTAATTACATTTATTAATAATCTGTTTTCAAGCATGGGGCCATCGTTCAATTGCAAGAAATTGGAAAAGAAAGATTTGACAGAATATATGAATCTCTGGAAACATGCTGCACATTAAGCAATCTCATCTGATCTACAGATGTACCTTCCTACTCAACCCACATCAGACAATGGTTCACTTAATACCTGTCTGTGAAGGTTCTCAGTCATCCAGGTCATCGTTGTCAAAGGAGCTTGCAAAGAAAAGCGTCTGGACTTCTTTAAGTTGCTTGAAGACGTTTCACCTCTCATCCGAGAAGCTTCTTCAGTTCTAAGGTCAAATGGTGGAGAGTCCCAGATATAAACCTAGTGGGAGTAACCCCCCACAGAGGGACAAAAGGACCCCCTGATGATCCTCTAATCGCCTGAGCCAGTTTCACACCTTGGCTGATTGGGTGTGGATCCCAATCAGCCAGAGTTTCGGGTGTGTTCATTGTGAAACCTGGCCCCACCTTATCATGCGAATTCCTGAGGTCATGCGAATTCCTGAGGTTCCCGATTCACTTAATACCCTTTCCACACAATGGTAAATGGCCTGTATTTGTATAGCGCTTTTACTAGTCCCCCCTAGGGACCCCAAAGCGCTTTACACACCCAGTCATCCACCCATTCACACACACACACATTCACACACTGGTGGAGGCAAGCTACAGTTGTAGCCACAGCTGCCCTGTGGGGCGAGGCTGCCATATCTGCCATATATTGGCCCTTCTGGCCAACACCAGTATGCGGTAGGTGAAGTGTCTTGCCCAAGGACACAACGACCGAGACTATTCAAGGCGGGGCTCGAACCGGCAACCTTCCGATTACAAGGCGAACTCCCAACTCTTGAGCCACGATCGCCCCCCAATCAGTTCAGGAAACCCATATACACTGCATTGAAAACATTACTTTACACAACAGTGATTGTCCATCTGCAAGCTGCTTTGTAACCCACCTCCTCCCCAGGCCCTCCTCTTTTTATATACTATTTCTGACTCAACCATGAACCCTAGTCATGCATCTTCCCTTGGTTTTGCGGTATGCACCTTCAAACTCATTTTGTAAAACACTGCAGAAAAATTCTGTTCACTTTGATCATTTTGATCTTAGATATAGAAATATTTTATTTGATACAGGAAAACTGGTCCGGTCAGTGGTGGTTGTGAAATGAACTGGACATATTAAGCAAATGCAATGATAAATCATGGAATAGTTGTTCAGACAAGTCTTGACTAAGATTGTGGACCAAATCCTGGTTCATTTTGCTTTTTATTATCATTAGGGAAATGTGGTTAATAACACATGACCTACATGAAGCATGTCTTTCAGTTTCCCAACACCTGAGCACCTTTAATGACATCGGCTCACTCTTATTCTGCAGAATTACTGTGGTAGGTGGTACAGTCTATCCAATACCAATCGGAAAGTCATCAGATCGATCCCTGGCTAACCCAGTTCATGTGTCAAAGTTCAAGGTGAACCCTTGGTTGCCCCCAATACATCCACTGGAGTGAGTGTGCATATGAATGCTAGAGAGTGTGTAATTCTGAGTGTTCAAATGGACTAGCAAGGTGCCATTGCATCAATGCATTTACCAAACAGTAGTTTGATCATTCTTGGGCTACAGACTCAAAACTCACATTGATATCAGTGACAAAGGTCTGAAACGTGGCCTTAATTAACACTGTTTGCCTTGCAGTCTTGATGACACATTATACTTATGACAATTTGTGGGAGTCCAATCAAAAGGGTCAGTGGTCAAAGTTGGATGTAACCATCATTCTACAGTAAAAAAAAAAAAGTGAGAAACTTCCAGTCATGACATGCATAACCAATCCAAGCAATTACAACGTATGAATCTGTAAATTGTGCAATAAAATGTCTTATTCTTTAAGAGATACGTTGGTTAGTAGCAGATTTCACCCATTGTAATGATAAAGAAAATGTCTGAATGAGTGGGATATTACTATAGGAGACTATGAAAGACACTTTCTTACATGAATTGAGCTCCAGCTAACCAAAGCAGGAAGGATTTGAGATGAAGTAATATTCATATCAATCACAAAGCTCCACATCACTTCTTTAATTTCAGCTCCATAGAAAAATACACTATGATCTACTATGCAGTCTCTAAAATAGGTACAAAAAAGAAAAAATCTCCTGTCTCCCTTTTGATTGTCTATATGTTCAACCAAAAGACTTCAGCTCCTCTGGGTGACACTTCCTAGTCATGCCGTTTTATGCATGTATACGGCCGCTGAGGCCTCTAATGCCATATGGTCAGGTCATGTTTGGTTCAAGACGGCTTCTGGTGCAGCATTTTGCTACAGCTCTCTTGGCAGTGAAATAAAGTGCCTCACTGTGATGGAGAGAAAAAGAATCACATAGCAAAAGTCGAAGTGTCATGCTGAATCAGAGATTAGATTTGATATAGAACTGTGCTGGGGAATAAGAGGAGATCACTGGAGAAATTCCATCAAATGCAAAACTGAAAAATGGAATAAATGGCTTAATTTAATGACACCACCTTTATTGAATTCATTTACTTTCTTTCTTCTCCATCACTCAGTCCCATAAACCCCACATTTCTGACTCCCTCTAATGCTCCATCATAAAGGATGGTGCTTCATATTTAGCGCAGTCAAGCTCTAAAAAAGTGTTGCTGAACAATATAACAGTGCGGGCATTCAAGGAATAAAATGAGGGTTTGTTTCAAAGTGATAAACAGTGACTTAAATATCCACACTGTAAGCCTTATTTAAACCACCTGCTTGGGTTAAGGGTTATGGTCAGAAGAGACTTTAGGGGGGTTAAGAAAAATG